TTGTTGCTAACTATGATCTTACGCAAATTCTGCATTATTATTACTTATGAGTTCTGATTGTGAATCATTATTCACAGCTGTATCATGAACTGCTCTTCTTTCAGTCTCTAAGATGCTTCTTGGTACAGGCTAGCATGTGTTGTGAGCTCCGGGGTGGAGCCCTAAGATTTCCTCGTGCTCTTGAACCAGGGTACGCCTGACACGACGACGTTGCAACCAACTCGACTGACAATCCAAGTATGGCCTACTGAGGTTGCCGTCTTTTAGAGGAGAGAGGCAGCGGCTCGGCGGTGTAAACCCTAAACCCTAAGCACTAAACCCTAAACGAAAACGAAACTCATTGGCGTCAAGCCGCTGGGAAAAAGCACGTCGCCAGCAGAAACAAAGCCCGTGAAGGCCTGGTTGCAGCTAAGGCTGGCACTCGGTCGTGGTTATCTTCTCATATGAAGTAGGGTTTAGGGTTTAGGGTTTAGAGTTTAGGGTTTAGGGTTTAGGGTTTCGGGTTTATAAGCCCTACTTCATATCTTCTTGAATATCTTCGTTGAACCTCGTGCAGTGTCTGAAAACCGCGCTCGGTTAGGCAGACTGCACCAGTAGAGTACTCAGAGAGGGCCTTAAAGGACGTCTTCTTTGCCCTGGCTTCGGCGGGGTGCTCATCACACTCCAGACTTTCCTCCAGCCTCCAGCAGACTCCCCCTACGTGCTAACACGACTGGGAGCATGCCAGGAGGGGCTCCTGAATTTGCAAAGCTGCGTGCATTCAACTTGTGGCCCTGAAGAACAAAGGACAGGGCAGAGGAACCCAGGAAGATCGATACATCGGCTCCATGAGCCCGTGAGACTTGAACGATTGCTCTCACTGATTGTTCTCACTGATTGCTCATGAGGCTTTCTTGTTGAGCCCCTCCTTCCCTCTCTCTCTGCTCCCGATTGTTATTGGCAACAACCGAGACAGTGGCGTAGGCACTAGCAGCAAACATGCCAGTGCAAAGCACCGCAAGGCAGAGGGTGCCCCAAAACATCTTCCACGAAACGGAAACGGTCTCTTCGGCATACTCCTTCAGAACGCCAGGCTTCTCGAGGGCCACGGCACAACTTGCCAAGCGCTCTCCGGATTCACCACGAACTCGCACCCAGCAGGGCCTCGTCGAGGCATTCCCCCATTTCTTTGCGATGTCCTCCACCTTCCAAACATCTCCTGAGTAAGGCCCATCGGATTGATAGATGTTTGAGGAAGCGGCAGGAACTCCGTACTGGTAGGCACAGCTAATCTGCTTGTCGCTCTCCGGGCTATCCCCTTCCAGGCTGTCGAAGGTGTCCGTCTTCGGCACGGAGACGAGGGCCCAAGGTGTGTAGCTGTAGGTGCGGCGGCGGCGGGAGTTGTGCGTCAGGCGCCGAGGCTCCGCCATGTCGGGGGTTTCGGCGTCTTGCCCGTCCAGCTCCTCCAACTCATCCAGCGCATCGTCATCTTCGTCGGAGCTAGCGATTGGCTGGGAATCCTGGCGCAAGCGCCGAGGTCCCGGCTGCTCGAAATCGAAGTTGGCAGCCTCGGAGCACTCCTTCTTGTGGAGGTTCGAGGAATCGTGCTTCTTCAATATGTCCAGGATGCCTTGTGGGGTGCACCAGCAGTGCTTCACGTGCCAAGGCGCCTTGGCAACAACAAGAACAACGGCATCTCAAGGAGTCTGGAAGATAAGTTGTCACTTCATGGGCCTCTGAGCTTCTTCGCCTTGCCCTTCTCTTGACCTTCTCTTAACCTTCTTAATCCCCTGATCTCTTTGGCATCTCAAGACAAGCCAAGTTGAGACGGTCAAGGCGGTCACATGACTTTTGGCGCCAGCAAAACACATGCAGGCCGATCAATGCCGCGGGGCAGGGTCCACTGCATAAGGCTTCCCGCTCTGATCCGTGCCACATTTCCAGGGTCCGCTGGAGGCCACCTTATAGGCCTGCTCGGCCGATGGAACTGTGTACGTGAAGCCGTCAAAGAGCTCCGGGGCGTAGGTAATCTCACCATTGCAACGGCACAGCTCCCCCTCCTTGGCACACCTGGAGGTGACTAGCTAACCCACAAGGGGTGTTCGGAGACCATTCAGGCCACCACATGAAACAGGAAAATCTGCTCTCAACTGCCCGAGATGCCAGTAGGTTCCTGGGCACACGGCAATCCTCGATCGACAGAGCAATGCGAACAGCGAGCTCTCAGCGTGAACACATGTAAGGAAAAGGATAGGCTTGATTTCCGAACTGTGGGGGGGGCCCGAACCCAAACCATGCGAGCAAGCGTCTGCTCGGTCAAGAAGACAGGAGGGCGAGAAGGCGGCATTGCGCCCGCTTTGTACCCATTGCAAGTGCTCCTGCTCAGCATGAGACTGGAAACTGGGCCTCAAGACATACCAAATGCATTTCTGCTAGCACCGTGCTAATCTAAACTGCCACAGAGTCGCACAGAGACACGGAGAGCCGGTGAGCGAACGAGGACTGCGAAGAAAGTGTAGCCGGTTTGGGGGGACACCAGAACTGTGCACATACACACATGTGAAGATACAATGTCAACATCTGTACGGTGACGCTAAACCTTTCCAGACCCCGGTCCTCGACTCTTTGTCGGCGCAGCTGATGCCAGCCGACAAAACCTGGCAGGTCGTCTGCCGCCACCTCGGACGTTGATTCTGCACTCGCATCTCCAACTGCGGGCTTAGGACTTGTTTCCTTAGAGAGGGTTTAGGGTTGGCCTCTTAGAGGCCTGGGATCGGACAGAGGATCGTGAGATCCTGGGTGAAAGAACACAGCGAGGGAAGAGCGAATGTCCTCCTCATGGGTGCACAAGTCTTCTTAACGCGGACATCAAATATCAAGAAATGTGGAGGCAAGAGGCGCAAACGCTTCATCCCAGTCTTCTGCCTTGCTCAAAAAGACCCCCGAGCTCTGAATCGACCAGCCGAAGCAGAAGACAAGGGCCCAGCAGCTGCAGCAGCAGCAGAGGGCACAACATCCGATTCTGGGGTCCAGAAAAAACATTTGTATCCATGTTTGCATTGACATGGCGGCTTGTGGCAAGAGCCGAGGGCCGAGACCCTTCAAATGTGGGCAAAGCTGCTGCGGAGAACTCGTCTACGTGACAAGCAAATGATGCGTGTGGCACAGGGGTACCGGATCACGCGCTTCTACTTTTTGCTAGTTAAGTGCTATGAAGAAAGGCCTTTCAGACAGCCAACAGCGACCACTACTCCCGACCAGCCCGGTGATACAACAAACTGAGACCTGAACCTCCAAGAAGGATCCACTTTTAATGTGCCTGCGCTACAGCATAGCATAGCAGTTTTACAGCAGACATGAGTCGATCTGCTTGAACGCCAACTCTCCAATGACAGAGAGGACCCTTGAATGTTCAGAGGAGCATCGAGGCATGCAGCTTCCCGAGCGTGAAGCCCAATGCCCAACAGCCTCAAGTTTCCTGAGGCGCCCCAACACCTCAGCCCCCTCAGCCCCCTAGCGGCCTCCGGCCCCACGGACACGTCCCGAGGCGCGCAGCAGCGCTCGAAGCTGAAGGTGCCATCGAAACAGAGGTTGCCGGCACCGCCTGGGAGTTTCCGAGGGTGGGACTCTCTGGGGCTCGCTTTGAGTGGCTCTGCGTGCGCGAGTTTGGGACTTCAAACCGCGAGGGTTGAGAGCAACGTCAACATACGCCGAGCGTTCCATTGGGGGGGGGGGGGGGCAGCGGGGCGGCTCTCAAAAGTTTTGCAGTTGGGGAAATATGGGGGGGATCTTGACTTCGCGGGCTTGGACTGCTCCCTTGTTTTGGGCTAGGCAATGTGCCAGATGCATTGGAAACACCATGGTGTCCCACAGTTCTTAAAGAAATCCTAAGCCCTAAACCCTTTTGACTAAACCCTAAACCCTGAACCCTAAACCCTAAACCCTTCACGTCGCAGCCCTTCAAAACGCCTCCATTGAAGCTTGGCGGCCATAGCAGCAAAGGGCCCGGGTAAGGCGGCCGTCCCAGCAGCCAGCCTCGGTTTAGGGTTTAGGGTCTAGGGTCTAGGGTCTAGGGTTTATAGGGTTTAGGGTTTAGGGTTTAGGGTTTAGGGTTTAGGGTTTAGGGTTTAGGGTTTAGGGTTTAGGGTTTAGGGTTTAGGGTCTAGGGTTTAGGGTCTAGGGTTTAGGGTTTAGGGGTTACTCTTCGGGATTCAGACTCGGAGCGGCCCAAAGACTTGACATTCAGACGTTGCGGATTGTTCTGCGTGATTGCCCCTGTTTCTTCACACGCTAAGCCCTATCAGGGGTTAGGGTTTAGGGTTTAGGGTTTCGGGTTTAGGGTTTAGGGTTTAGGGTACGTTACTTGAGAACCAAATACCAAGAGCCGTGCCGGGCTGGTCTCGCTTAGGTAGTTCGAAGCCTCTGCAGGCCAATGACACCCTGAAACCCCTTTGGCGGTTGAGGTGGTTCAGGATCTGGGTCTGAAGCTGCGCACCAGACATATTTCTCAAGCCGCCACGCACCGACTTTTGGATCGAAATTTCCTGAGTGTCCGAGTGGCCGAGGACGCCCGCTCCGGCGTCTGCAGCATGGCTCGCTGGGCCAGGCGGACAGGTCTCTAGCTGCTCTAGCTGACTGAGGTATGGTTCGGCGGCCAGGAACATATCATTTTAGGGGTTTAGGATTTAGGGTTGAAGGTTCAGGGTTTAGGCTTTAGGGTTTTAGGGTCTAGGGTGCCTTGGCTGTGGGAAACGAGTCTGTTAATGACTCCGGGGGTCTAGACCCAGCTGCTGGATCCGAGGATGCCCGAGAGCCCCCATCCGTCGAAAGGCTCTTTCACTTGCAGAAGCAACGAGGCACTTGGGGGTTTCCGAAAAATAGGGGGGGTGCCCTTTTTGGTTGTCCCTTTTCAGGGGATTCTAGTCGACTTGGGGTTATGAAAGAGGTACCCCAATTTCGGGCAATACCCACTTCCCAAAAGCACACCACAGAAACACATAGAAGATCGCGCATGCGAGCACCTCCTGCACTGCCATCGCCTCGGCGGCCCAGGCCTTAGGGAACAAGCAGACGCCCCCCCCAAAAAAGGGCCCTCAACTCAGATCCCCCCCCCAAGGCTGTGAATTCCCTTCGTCTCGGAAGTGTGTCCTAAGCCCGCGCGCAATCGCGCGCACACACAGACAGTAGGCTCACACACCGGTCCCCGGCCTCATCTAGACTAAGGTCCAGCTCGTTCAGACTGACCTGCGACCAAGTGAGACGCAAGGCATCCAAGCTTCCAAAACTCCACGACTCGCAATCTTGGGAACTCAAGATAGGTACGGGGCTCGGTAGGCATGGCAAGGACTCGACTTTTTCCGGGGCTTCACGCGAAGTGGAGACGACGGGTTCTGCCAGCATGCTTGACTGTGGCTGAGGACCGCGACAGGATTTTGGGGCTTTGGATCTAGGATGCGGGGTAGCGCCTGAACCAAAGCTTCATTCCTCACAGGTTTACAGCGGCCGCTGCGCAGGCTGCGCAGCTGCTTCCCGCCGTGATTCGCTGTCCATGACGACGGCATGGGGGCCCGGCACAGGTTTGGAGATCTGAATACCCAAACGACGAGAAGTCCTCGGCGACCGTCTGTAGCACATGCGAGTGCCGTGGTGCTGGCCCGTGCAGAATGGCATTGTGCACCTTTCGCCTGCAAGCACTCGCAGGGATACCAGCTTCCTCGAGATTCCTCCACAGTGGGTACGGGAAAGCCCTTTGTTCATGCACCTCTGAGCGTCGTCTTCGCCCAGCTTGCAAGTGCTGTGCCGGGCAACGTGTGCAGATTGTAGGCGAACACCGCGCGATCCTTGGGTCCTCGATCCAGCCAGGAAGGAAAGACCAGGGATAGACCGCCTTTTTGGATGGGCGTTACGCTAGCCGACGGAATGGAGCAGTGGGCTCCAACGTGACTTCGCCCTCTTCGCTACGCATCCTCGTGTAGCGGAAGGGCGTCGTTCCACGAGGGTCGGCAAAAACCGTAGGGGTGCGGTCTGCCAACCAAGTCGGCGGATGCATAGAAGACACCGCTGAGGAGAGCCAAGGGATGGTCGTGAAATGCCAAGCCCATCGAGGTCTTCATGGTCGTCTCCTCATTCGGAGGGGTCACGGAAGCCCAGATTGAGAGATCAAGCTGTGCGAGGTCTGCTTCGGACAGAGTTGCGGAGTGGATCTGCTGGAGGTGCTCCAGGGGTGAAAGCTTCACCAGCCTCTTCTTCTCCTGGAAGTCTCTGGAATCCCTGTAGAGCTGCGGCCACACATCTGGGCGGCCATCCTCCTCTTGCTCGGCATCATGGGTGAGCTGCCAGTTGAAGAACGCGCTGTTGACATCATCTGGGCGGCTCTTCTTTGCGAAGCCTCAACGTCTCATGAACCACGATGCTGAAATCTGATGGTAAAGGTTGAAACAACCCTTCACATTCAACCCTGTTCTTATGGGATCTTCTGGGTCTCCCTTCGCTCATGGAGTCCTGTGTTTAAAGGATTGCTACCCAGTTTTACACGTACTTGATATGCCTGCCAGACATGGGCATATGCTGGCATCATAGTAAGGCTTGCCAATCTGAGCCCAGAACACGACATCCCTGTCATCCCGATAGATCCTCCTCCGAATCGCTCTCTTCCAGAGAGGGCATCACGTCCAGATCTCGGCATGCGGGAACCTGTCCAGGCCACCCTTCAGGTGGTCGGTGGTCACATGCCGCCAGGCGCCAGCTGTCGTTCCAGAGCTGGCAGCACTGGTGACATGTATTCCGACAGAAGTGAGGCCTCTCTGGCACTGTTCGCCATTTCTGCCTCCCCAACACTTCTTGCATAAACCTCCTCTCTGCCACCACCATCGCATAAGTGAGAAAAGGCTCGTAAGGATGATCCAGGGGTGGTGGCTCCTCACGTTCTCGATGTCGGCCTTGTCGAGCATCCTCCGGGTTCGAAGCCACCACATGGCTCGCCTGACCTGCTGCCGCCTCTGCCACCTTGCAGGGCTTCAGATCCTTTGGCAGGCTGCGGCTCCTTGTTCTCCTCTGCGAGGTCGACACCGGCTTCAGCTCAAGGAAAGTATTTGTAAGTCTTAATTCCATACCCACCTGCTTGTCATCCCAAACATCAGGTGCCGTGTCTCCGTGCTTTGCCGTTGCCGTGCGAGGTACGGATGCAAGCAAGGCTTCCTCGCTGGGCGACAGCCGGTTCCGAGGGAAGTCTTCTGGGAGCTTGGGCCTCTCCCAGCAGCAACAGAAAGAGACCTGTGTTCCGCCCATGGTGCTTCCCAAATTCAAATTTGCTCTGGGAGTGACCACGGCTGCGGCAGAGTCAGAGACGTGAAGATCATTGGGAAGAACCCCTTATGTTTTATTGACAGCCTGGGCTTGCACAAGCACCAAGAAAAACAAGTGCCTGCACCACCGCACCGCCCTATCCTGCTTCCGGCCCTCCCCCGCATCCTCCGCAAAGGCCGCCATGGCATCGCAGAGTAGCAGCCCCGCGCCGTAGAATGACAGAATGCCTGGGGCCGCGAGTGAGCCATCACTTAAGGCCCTTAAGGCGGCCTGACCAGAGAAAAAAAGAGCTTCAACGCTACCTTACAAACGACTGATTGAGAGGAAGGGCGCCGGAACATTCACGGCAGAGCTCACTTGAGAAGTCAAGGCTTCAGTTGTAGGACTGTAGGATTTTAGGACCCAGATGCCCGATGTCCCAAAAACTTAAAGCCTCAGCCCAAAACTCCCCAGACTCCTTACCTTAGGTTCTTTGGGGCAAAGACCTTGTAAACTCCAGAATTCCACTTTCAAGTCCGCAGCCTGCTCGGGAGCCTTCTGTGACTGCCAGCACGCGGCAAAGCCACAAGACCTGCTCCTTTGTATAGGGTTTAGGGTTGAGGGTTTAGGGTTTAGGGTTTAGGGTTTAGGGTTTCGGGTTTCGGGTTTAGGGTTTAGGGTTTAGGGTTTAGGGTTTAGGGTTTAGGGTTTAGGGCCATGGAGTTGTACGCGCTGCGCGAGGGCTGCAAACGCACATTTCGGCTGTCCCCGAACTCCAAAACCCTGTGGATCATACCGGAGTGAGACCCCAAATAACTCTACACCCAACCCCAGACACCTCAAAACAAAAAACAAAAGAAAACCCAAGCACCCACGCTGGCCCTGGATGACCGAAGATCAGAGCTTGCGAGGTTTGCCAGGTGTCCTTGGAGTCCCAATCGCCCGTGGGCGTGTTGAACCAAAGCCTCGCCAGGCGATTGAAGATCTACAAAAGTTTCTTCGGTTTTTCGGTGGTTTTTCGGGATTTCTCCCAACCATTCTCCTCGCCTCCTCGCCGGGTGTGTCCGGCCTGATAGTACCCCGCAAAGAGATGCCCGCTGAGTTTTTCCGGAATCCCTGGAGCGCCCACCCCCAGAGAATTCCGCGGAGAGTCCCGGCTAAGCCGTGGAGCGAGGATGATGGAAGTGTGATGTCCATACGTATATTAGGGGGTTTACGAAAATAGGGGACCCCAAAAGCAGCCCCCCCAAATAGTAGGATTCCCTTACTATCGAACCCCAATGAGGTACCACCACTTTCGGAAACCCCAATATGTATCTGTTTAGGGCAAGGGCTCATGGTCTACAGTTCTGGCTTTGGAATTGGGGCCTCCTGGCCGTGGCTCCAACCCTCCAACCCTCAAACTCCGGTCCTAGGGTCCTCGACAGCCCAGCCCTGAACCTGAAAAGGCAGACAAACGGCAGCCAGGGCAACCTCCAGAACCTGGAACAGCCGCCAAACCATCCTAGAATCAGCACTCAAAAACGAAGCTTTAACAACAAACATACACACACACAGAGACACAGAGAATTTAACAAATGTAGGGCACCTACAACCGAATTAGAACTTATTCTGCAAGTAAAGACAATACAGCCCAGGTTGGAATATGCGGGAACACCCAGCCTCTTGAGACTCTTCCCAAGCCCCGGCAACGATCGAAGCTCATGGGCGTCCTCGCACAGTTCTTGTAGGTTCGCAAGAATAGGCGATCGCGTGCCTTTCTCAACGGTTCACGCCTTTCTGTGCTTTTCCGCAGGCTGTGCAGATGAATCACTTCTCCATGGAGAGCTCTCCCGCCTTCGTCAGGTAGCTCCCTGGTGAAGGCCAGTTTGTTGCCCAAGTCTCCTTGCCGTCAAAGACAGCCTGGGACACCAGCAGATTGGGGCTTTCGACCCTCATGGGGAAGAGCACGCCATCCAGGTGATCGAACTCGTGCTGCGCGATACGCGCAGGCAGATCCTTGAGGTGCACTTCGCGGGTTTCACCTCGCTCGTCGAGGCCCCTCATGCGGATTTCTCTGGGTCGCTGAACCCAGCCCCGCATGCCTGGAACGGACAGGCACCCTTCCCACATCCAGCTGGTGTCCTCGCTGAACCAGGTGATTCCGGGGTTGATCCAGTACTGAAAGGGCACCGGCGGCGCCGCAGCATAACGCGGGTTTCCCTCCTCGATGCCGTAGCACATCGCTCGAACCCACCATCCGATTTGGGGTGCGGCGATGCCAATTCCACCGTACTTACCCATAGCTGCTCGAAGGATGGCCAGGCGATTCTGCGTCTCTTCTGCTTGCACCCTCTCCACCTCCGGCTGGGGCACCATCAAGTCGGGATCTCCCAGATATCTGAGCGGCGGAATGCGATCTTCGTCGGTTGCAGATTGGGCTCCCATGGCTGTGGCGTGGGATGCCCGGAATCTCTGAAGGACGGATGGCACAAAGCTGCCGACACTACAGCTGAACAAGGCAAATGCCCAGGTGCTGAAGCAGAAGACTCGGCTACACAGCCCTCTCCGCGGCACTCGGTGATCTCGGCGGGCCATCAAGGAACTAAAAGCGTTGGAGTGGCCGGCTCCGGGTGCGGGTGAAGGCTTCTCTGCGTGGGTCAACGTCTGCAAGGTTGCAAGGTCAACTCGTCGGTTACGCCGTGATTGTTCAGGTTTAGGGCAGAAACTCCCTTCCAAAACCCTAGACCCCAAAGTCCCTTCAACCCCCAAAGCCCTTCCACACACCCAGACCCACAATACTTGGGGGTCCTTGGCAGCTTGAAGGCCGGCGGGGGAAGCAAGCACTGCACCCAGGGCGGAGAGGAGGAGGCCTTTGCGTGGCATTTGTGGCTCTGGGATCTTGGAACCCTCAAGAGGAGAACAGGGGAGCAGGTCTGATTTCGGTGGGCTGCGGGTATGGCAGCAACCGCCTGCTTGGGAAGTTCTTAGGATTCAGGGTCGCCTGCCAGCTCACAAGGAGGACAGCCGCACCGGCAAAGTCCCCTTGCTAGCGGAACCCTTGGGGATCGCGGCAAAGGCAGCCTGGGGGAAGGGGGGAGGGGCAGGGGGGGCAGGGAAAACGAACACGGAATGCAGGCGCTGTCAGGCAATCCAGGAAGAGCCGCTGCTTTTGAGCCATGTCGCGTAAGGCATCAACCACAGCCGAGGCCGTATCCTGACATGGCCGTGGTCTGGATCAAGAATCGATTCAAGTGCAGGCTGACCTCTCTCTTCTGCGCGCCACAAGTCCTGAACGATTTTGGCAACCAGATGCTAAGAGGTTACATGCCTGCATCTTCAAAGCTTTCCAAACTCCCTGCATACCTTCCGCAATCCCTGACTGCACCTCAGCTGTGCCGGGCTGCCGGACAAAGCGGCCGCCATCCTCCCAGCAGTTCAGGGAAGCTTGGGGGATGTAAATAGCTGTACTTCTTACATCCATCTCGTGTACCCCCTAGTGTGATAGGAACACCATCCTAAACGACTGACACACAAGATGATACACTGATACACCTTCAGATGGAACACATGCCGCTAAAACCCGCAGCCTCCATCCATCCCGCTTCGCAAGCCGTATGGCGCACGGGGGTGCAGCTTGCAGTGCTGTGCTGCTGGCTTGGCTGGCTTGCAAGCAAGAAGGCTGTCGGGGTTCTGAGGTCTTTGTGGTTCAGCAGTAGGCCCTACTCAGTAGGCCAACAGGACTTCCAGCAAGTTTTTCGAGGGCGTGAAAGCGAAAGCTGGTGTGGACGGATGGTACAAAAGCTTTGGATGCCAGCCGTGTCCAAGGAAAATCGAAGCTGAACAGAGCCAAAACGGCGGAGGGAGTGACAATCTGCAGCTACTGGGGTTTCAGACCTTAGGGGCACCCTATTGGGATCCTTACTTTGAGGGAATCCTGCTATTTGGGGGGTCCTCTTTTTAGGGAAACTCCCAACTGCAGCTACTAGCTCAACCAATGCAGGCCGCTGCCGACAATGCTACCCCTGTCCCTGCCGTGCCTGGCGAGCTTCACCTTCAGATCCTCGCACATGCATTGCCTTCCAATGGAACAAAGAAAGGCGGCCCTCAGTCTGTTTTCTGGGGGGGGGGGCCTTTACTTGAAATGAGGTTCACTGCTGCAAGAACCCGAAGTGGGGTTCAGAGTGGTTGGGCTTGTTACGTTAGACTTCAATGTTCAGGGTTGTGTTGAGGCTTGTTCAGCGTTGTGGGGCTTTAGGGTTCAGGGTCGTTCTTCAGGGTGTTTGGGCGAGAGTTGATGTTGGGCTTCAACCCTCAACCCCAAGTCCTAAAACCCTAAACCCTCAACCTAAACCCCTAAACCCTGAATCCTAAACCCTAAACCCTAAACCCTAAACCCTCTCAGGAAGCCCTCGTCAATCCAGAGTCTCCCCGCGGGTGCCTCTGCGGACCGGCCCCGCGGAATCCGCCCCCGGCGATGGCGGCCATCGGCCTGGCGGTTTAGGGTTTAGGGTTTAGGGTTTAGGGTTTAGGGTTTAGGGTTTAGGGTTTAGGGTTTAGGGTTTAGGGTTTAGGGCTTAGGGTTTAGGGTTTAGGGTTTAGGGTTTAGGGTCCATAGGGTTTAGGGTCCATAGGGTATAGGGTCTATAGAGGGTTTAGAGTTTAGGCTTTTTTGTTAACAACCCTGTGCACCCTTTCTTGTGCAGGCCACTGGCTTTAGGGTTTAGGATTTCGGGCTTCGGGTCCATAGGTTCTAAGTGTCAACAGGGCTTGGGACTTAGGGTCCCTTCTCCCCAGCCTCCCCCACAACCCTCCCCCCCATTTTCAGCGGCCTCCCAAGGTTCGGGCTCATGAGGGTTTATGAGCCGTGGACTACTATTTGCTTAAAACCAAAAAATATATGCAATAATACCTATATTGCCCTTTATAAGGTATCATATCTTCTATTTTGGGGGGAGTTCCTAAGCAAATAGTAGTGGATTTCTGGGCAGGAAGTTCAGGTCGTCACACGAAGATCCATTGTGGTCGTACCAGCATGGCGGAGGCCTGTTTGGCATTGGGCCCCACGAAGCAACGGTCTGACTACCAAATTAGGGTTTAGGGTTTAGGGTTTAGGGCTTAGGGTTTAGGGTTTAGGAGCACGTTTGCCTCTAGGGCGTTTGAACCCTGACGCCCGTCCGCAAGCAACAACAACGATCGCCTGCGCCGCACCGTCAACGCATCTGCTTGGTACCTCGCAAGCTCCTCAGATGATCTCGACTCGGGGTCTGGGCTCATCAACTGAATCTTTAAGCGCTGAGGATGCGGAGATGCACGGAGACTTCTGAATCACTCTTGGAAAATTCGAAGCGATTCGGCGTCTGCTGAGTCGGGGAAGGAGCTCAAGAGTTTGTGCACAGAGCTCCCGTCTCCCCCCCTTTCCGACGATCCCTCTTCTTCTTCCGCGCCCTGTTCTCCTCCCCGCTCTCTCCCTCCCCTATTCCTCGTCTTCTTTTCCATATGCCCTTCTTGTTGGTTCACACATGCAATATACGCCATATATCTTACATGTGCTATGTACCCAAAAATCCCCCAAGCACCCTACCCTTCTATATTCTCTTTATGTACATATACCCTACATACGCAAATTCTGGAAATCCCCTATGTGCACTACATACCCCATGTACCCATGCAGGTTGTTTTGCCTATTCGTGCGCCTTTGCTTACTATATGCGGTTTCAATACTTGTTATTGGTGCTTCTTCGCTTACTCTGCGGCAGTTGGAAGCATGTCTTCAACGAGACCGCAATCTAGACCTCAAGAGCTATCCAAAAGCACACGATCGGGAGAAAAAGATTTGTGCAACATGCGCTCGGAGACGTCATCAGGTGTACTTGCTTCATGTAGGAAGACGTACGAACAGAAGTGCAAACAAACCGCGATCTCTAACTCAAGATCCCCGAGGCAGTGATGGAGACACGCGATCCAGGTCCGCGGAGCTCCCACAACGTGCGCTTGAGCAAGAAGATGTACGACGTACGACCAGTACGGGACGCATCTCCCAGTACAGCTCAGGATCCCCCGTAACCCTCAAGTATACCCAAGGTAGGTCTTATTGAACCATTGCATACTGACCCCCACCCCTTGATTGGACCATTCAATACTGAGCCCCCTTCTCCACGTACTGACCCCCCCCTACCTTTTTCTCGAGGAAATCCCTTTGTTTACATGATTGTCCGACTTCCTTGCTAACGCGAAGCAAAACTCAAGCCTAGCCACGCTAGCTTTCGTGATAATATGTGCATGTATGTATGTATGTCGGTCTGTCTGTCTGTATGCATACATATATAAATATATGGTATTCTATATATTCTACATATATCCCCCACACCCACAAACCTCAAAAAGGAGCTCCTCGCGCAATCTTTGGTTCTCCTCCTCCAGAGCATTGGAGCGCTCCACACCTGCTAATGAGCCAAACAGCAGGTTGATTCTACAGGGTTTAGGGTTTAGGGTTTAGGGTTTAGGGTTTAGGGTTTAGGGTTTAGGATTTGGGGTTTGGGGTTTGGGGTTTGGGGTTTAGGGTTTAGGGTTAAGGTTCGCTTTCCGCTTGAGTGTTGAGAAGCGACTCGATGAAAAAGTACCCCCTAAGGGGGCCCTTAGGCTGTAGACCAACCCCACCCCAAATGCTCTGCGAATCTATGCCACGGCAAGAAACACAAAAGCAAGCAGAACCTGCGGCGGAGTCCGCTACACTGCCGGCACTGCTCGTTCGCTGGAGCGACCTGCGCTAGCGAATGCTAGCGGCAAGCCACCGCAAAACTCTCACAATGCGTTTCAACATCCTTCCGGGCGACTTGAAATGATATGTTGCAGCAGTGCCCGGATTGCATTGCATGTAACATGTGCAAACGTTGCGCAGGAGTGTCCACCGTCCCGAATCTCGCACTTCCGCATCAAGACCTCAGCTCTTCTAATCTCCTCGGGCTGACATGCCATGGCCCATGCCATCCACCAGAGAAAGGGCACTTGCATGCGCGCCATGCGACAACCTGCAACGATATTGGATGTATATCCCATTGCAAACTTACAGTGCTCTGCTTCGGTTACGGCACGCTGCCCGCAAGGCCTCCCCTTCTTTTCTGCGCTGCTTCGCCTGCCCGCGGTCTCCCTGACCCTGGATGCATTGTGCATGATCAGATGCCGGAAAGTTGCCACGGCAAGCATTGTAGCAGGGGCAGTTAATCCCATAAAGTCCTAGAGAAGACGGCACAAGGAAAACTATACCAGGCAACTATCTGCCCGACCAGCCGTGAATGCTGCATTCTTTGTGAGATGACGGTCGGCTGCAGGCGCATCCAACAGCAACGTGCAGCCTGATCCCGCTCTCGCTGAAAAATGGAGGGAATCCATGGAACAAAGGGCACAGAAGGCACGAAACGCTCAGGCCATTCAGGCCACATGCCTGCAGTCATCTGCAGTCAAAGCCCTTCAGCCCAGTCGTGGTCTCGCGCAGGTGAGTGAGGAGGAGCCGAAGCACCTGGGGATGTTTCGCGTGCGCAGCCAGCCGGAGGGGCGAAAGCACCGTCCGCGCGTCGGGTGTTGGCCAGGCACGGGCAACCAGCAGTTCCCTTACCACATCCAGGTGCCCAGCATAGGCAGCCAGATCTAGTGGCGTGGTGTTGCCAGAAGCCACAGCAGTCGGGTTGGCGCGGCTCTTGAGAAGCAGCTGGACCAAGGCCTGCGGGGAGTTTGTGAAGGTGCTGAGGCTAAGGGACGTCCAGTGTTTGTTCTGGGCTTCTAACACAAGGATAGATAAATATAGTATAGTATATAAAGGGCCAGGGTTTCAAACCACACTATGTTCACACACGCATATACTTCACAAACTGCTCTACGGGCAAGCCTGATGGCCCGCGTGTGCTGCATCATGCAGCGGCGTGAAGCCACCATTGTGGTCCGCAGCATCAAGGACGCTGCCCTTCTCCAGCAGCAGCACCACGGTTTCTGTGTGGCCATGTCTCGCCGCCCCATGCAATGCAGTGGAGCCATCAATGGCAGGGACTGATACATCTGCACGGGCAGAAATCAGTGACGCGACTGTCTCAGCACAGCCCATGTTCGCTGCCCCATGCAGAGGCGTGAAGCCATCGGACGTGGCCGCATCAACAGCTGCACCAGACTTGAGGAGGTTGTGAACCACGTCGGTGCTCCCCAGCTCTGCTGCCACATGCAGGGGCGTAACCCCCTTCGAGCTGATAAGGGATGTTCTGGCAAGGGATGCAACGGGAATCAGGGAACTTTTGCCCGGAGAATTCGTGTCGGAGCTCCCTGCGATGCCTGTTTCCATTGAGTGCACCGATCTTGGCTTTGTCTGGTTCAACTGCTCACCAAGCTCTGCACATTCTGCAGCATGCAGATGGGGATCCACGTGCACGGCCGATACGGGCGACTCCTCCGTCCACGCGTCGCATGCATTGCCAGAACAAGATGCAACCTCAGCAATCTCGGCATCCGCGGCAACCTCCACAACCTCGACCGCAGGCTGCGGCTCGGCCTGGAGCCATTCCGGGGAGCTGTCGCTGCAGGCCAAGGAGAAAGGGGAGCTGATTGGGGTCAGGAGGTGGCGCCACTGCGTGCGCCCCTGGCAGCTTCCATCGCTGCTCGTGCTTCTGACAGACTCCACTCCTGGCTTCACCTGCCGCCTGAGCCCGTCCCGGAACTCCTGGCAGGCTTCCAAGTCCCAGACCTCCGGTGGTGCTGGCACCTCCTCTTGCAGGATCCCACGCCTGCCCCAGCTGTCCCAGCTGTCGCTGTCACCGACTTGGGCAGGAGCGAAAGGATGCCGAGCTCCCCGATGGGCACTCGGGCAACTTGCCGCTGCTGGATGGGACTCTGCACAGCGCGAGCAGCAGAGAGAGGGATCGCAGAGCACCACCTGTAGGACAACCGGGCAGCCCGCTTCAGACACGGACTCCCACTCCCATGGTGTAGCTTCCTCGCCATCTAGGTCTTCTGATGGCGAGGCCATGCAATGAATTTCGGCCTCTTCGGCGTGAAAAGCAGCCTTCAGCTGCATGTCCGACGGTAATTTCTGGGCCGAATCGGACCCATTCCCATGCAACATCTGTCCATCACCGACTGCCATTGAGCAGCTGTCGGATGGAGATTCCTCAGTGAAGCAAGACTACACACAGGGAGTGTGACAGGAGAACGGTTTAAGATTCAAGAAGTATGAGAGATATACTACGCAGGAATTAGCACACCAGGAATCCCAAATGTGATGCCGAGGTGCTCCTGTACAGGTCCTAACGATACGCATCTCTTCGGGAGCCTCCAGAGACAGCCAACAATGACAACCTCCTACCGTACAAGCTTTAGGGGTGGGGTGGCGGCTTAGGGTTTTCGAGTTTAAAGTTCGGGTTTAGAGTTTAGAGTTGGGCGACGTGCGCAAAAGCCGTTGCTTCAGCCTGGGCAAGTCCATCGCAGGCATCGTTCTGGAACGTGAGGCAGGCCGCCGGATTCATCGGTTCGGGTGACGCAGGACTTCGGGCTCTGCAAGGTGTGGATCCTTGGAGATGAAGGGAGGCTTCAGCAGCTGGAACATGACATGCAATGTGCGGCTCCATCGGAGTTGTTTTTGTAAAGGCTCCGCTTTGAAGCAAGAAGCGACTCCTGCTTGAACAGGACGCAGGGGTGGCCGCCTCTGGGATAACCGCCTCCAGCAAACCAGGCTAAAGAAACGGGCCGTTGCGACCTACAGTGGTAAAAGCCACAAGGAGGCACCCTTGCCTCCAGAATCAATGGATGTTCTCGGCTAGTCCATGGAGTCTCACCAGCCACCTGCCAAAGCTCTTGCTGCCCAAGCGATGAACGAGACGGGTTGGTCGAGAATGGGTGTCTTAAAACCTCACGCAACATAGGGATTCTGGCTTGTTGGGGTAGATAAGGGACACCTCCATTGTAAGAAATGTCCGGCTTCGCCATGCCAATTCGAGAAAGTAAAGGCATGAACCCTGGCATGAATTTCCCAAACTGCTCAGGGGCCGGCTGTGGCCGCCGCCTGCAGCACCGCGGGGCCCTCGATCGAGACCCCGGGCTGCTCGGCAGCCTTGAAGGGTGGGCGGGGGGGGGGGTACAAGAAGCTTCGAGGGTTGTGGGTGGTTTGCTGGTTTGGGGATGCTGGGTTTCTAGGGTCCTAGGGGCAGCTGCAGGGTCCCTTCAATCCTACTGGAACTCATCAGATCGTGTTTTGCCCAGCCTTCTGGCAGCTCCCAGTGCTGTGGCGGTGTCCCACCTGATGTGCAACAGCGGGTGGGGTCGTGCTAAGGGCTCATGGCTCATGGGGCCGTCTTCTGCCTGCCTGCATGAGACCAGCATGCGCCAGAGAAGATCTGCCTTGCAGCCCATAGCTGGATCACTCGAAGACCACCAGTATGGCAAGAGCTCACCAGGCTTTCTTGCCTTGCTGTCGAACGCAGGGTGTTGGTGTTCTCCGTGGCTGTTGGCTTGTCCTGCATGGCAAGGGGAGTTCATGTCGAGCAATCACGCCCTTCATACCCCTGGTGCATGCCAGCAGTGCGATTGTTGCCCGAGCCACGGACACTTCAGACCACTTGCTGCATATGACGCTTGCACTCCAAAAGGTCCCGGATGCCAAGAACTGCATGTTCATAGAGGTGACCTGCCAGGGGACAGGCCTTTGCCCAAAGCCCTCAAGCGCACAAGTTATGCTAACTGTTATGCTGCCAAAGCGGCCCACTCCACGGCAGAGCCCCACGACCTTGCCCCGCAGATGCACGGCTCAAGCGAAACAGGCTGCCCAGCCGAACACTGAGGCTTCGAGGCTTGGAACTCGGGGCTAACGGTAGAATTGAGCGCAGGATGTGTCTGAGATCGGTGCAACCGGTCTTCGGCCGACATGCTGTAGAAGGCAGCCTGGGCGCGAGCGTTAAGCACCCACCGTACTTGAAAAACCTTCGCGCGAAAAGGCTCCGCGACCTTCATGCCTCATCTTCTTTCACGTCGACGGCATGTCGGCATACCGCTTTGTTCCAGGTCTTGCAAAAGTCCTGCCTGTGACGTGAGCTGTCTGTACACTCCTACCTCACTTCTGGGCCCAGTACGCTGAAGACATCTCTGACCGAGACATGCCCTGGCCGGCCACGGAGCTTCGGAAAGCGTTCCAGCTCAGACCGCCGCCGCCGCCGCCACCACCAAGGCTCATTCCACCACCTCCCAGACCCATCATGCCCATGCTCGGGGAGTGGGAGGCATGGTACGAGGCTTGCATCTGAGCTCGCGAGAGGCCTAGGCCTCCCATGGCCCGCTGATGCTCGTTCCACGGGTTGGGGGCCCTTCCCGTGCTTCCTCCCATGCTCGGGGAGTGGGAGGTACGGTACGAGGATTGCATCTGAGATCGCGAGAGGCCTAGACCTCCCATGGCCCGCTGATGCTCGTTCCATGGGTTGGGGGCCCTTCCTGTGCCTCGTGTACTCGAGGCACTTGAAGTGGGCGCTGTGGATGGTCGGGCTGGGGCGGCTTGTGAGGGCTGACCTCTCCTGGATCCTCCGTTGTAAGTTGCCCGCATCTCCTCACGCGTGTACCCGCGGCCACCCATGGAACGCTGGTGCTCGTTCCATGCATTGCTGCGCCTGGTGCTGGAGGAGCTCGGCTGGCTTGTGGACGTGCTGCCACGGTATCCGTCAGACAACTGCTGGCGTGAGTGGCCTTGACCACCGAGGCTTTGCTGGTGCTTGTTCCAGGGGTTCTGGGCTGCAGTGCCACCCCAACCGCGGGAACGGGCCTCTGCATAGCTCATGAACCTGCCATCATCGTGAATGGGACGCCCAGCGGCATTGACCCTCACGCCATACGTCTGTGCGGAAGGGCCGGCTGCCATCGAAGCGGCAGCTGCGGACACACGGTCCACGGCTGCCATGTCGACTCGGACCACCCCTCCAAGCGCATGAACCCAGTCTGGCCAACACCAGTATGGCAGTTCCCGTCCACTCTCGGCGTAGCCCTTGAGAGTCAGGCTTGAGATCTGCGAGTTGCGCGGCACCGCCCACTCATCCCTGCTCACCAGGCCACGCGCTGCAGCGTACACACTCTGGCATCCGGCCTGGCGAACGCACATTCGACAATTTCTTCTGATTCTCAGACATCAATGTATCAATGTGCATCGGTTCCCCACAACCCCACAACCCCAACTCACGCGCTTGGCCTTGTGCAGCACACCTTCGGTGAGACTCGACCATGAGTCGATGCCCAGGAAGGAGCCGGCTGTGGGGATGTCGCGCATGGGCTGGCTGGCCACCAGGGAGTAGCCCAGATCCACCTGATCAAGCTCGGCCTTCAAACACTAGCATGCCGTAAATGCCGTAAAGATGAAAGAAGAATCAACAAATGTCAAGAAGAAACAGCAACAAGAGGAAACAGCAACAATCACAACAACCATCACGGCTAGCTGCAACATGACAACACTGAACGTGGTAATTGCATAAAACCACATCATGTCTCAAGAGTACCTGTGCATCAGTCCCAAGGATTCTGCAGGCCGCACCTCCGCCTGCAAGACCGCACCCTCGCGCAAGGATGCGCCTTGGGCCTTGCCTTCGCAGTCCTCGGGCGACCCAGCGAAGTAGATGAAAGGGCCGAGCCTCAGAGAGTTCTTGCGATGCCTTCAGATGTCCTCAGTGCCTCTTATGGGTGCTCTTACTCACTGAAGTTCTGGGGGTCAGGCATACCCTTCGCCGAAGCACGGAATGTGCGGCTCTGCATGATGCTCTGTGCAGCCTCCTTGCTCGTCAGATGGTAGCTCCGGACCTTGCCCTTGAAAGCCACCTCGCGTGTCATCACGCATCCAGGTGTCACCAACAGGTCATCAAGATCTACCGGATACCAGTACACTAGTGATATACCAGCTGTCCATGCCTGCAGTCCGGCTCTTTGTGCGAGCTCTCTGCTCGAAGGGTTGGATGCGCGCGCCTTCAGGAGATCTCTTTGCACGCTGATGCTGATTGAACGTCCCGCAGTCCCGCAAGGCATCCAGATGCATTCCCCGCACCTCCAGACCCCGGCCGCGACGTACTTCACGGCTCTTCCGCTCGTCGCGCACATGCACCTGGCTGCTTGCGGCCCAAGACGTTTTTGCAAGGACAAGGTGTTGCACGTGGAGGCCGAACGGCGCAGAGCCTGGCGCATCCGGTTGAAGTCGATGATGTACTGCGAGTTGCCCACAGAAATCTGGACCTGGCTTCTCCCCTGTCCGTGCGCTTCCTCGATTCTCTGGCTGGTCTGCGGATCGTAGGCTTGGAAGCCGTCGCCCTCCCTCCAAAACCAGCCACATGCCTCGCAGGGCGTGATGTTTCTGCAGGTCTCGGGGTGTCCTACATTGTCTCACATTGTCCTTCCCTGTGTCCTCACCCCCACACTCCTGGCATCTCCTCACTTTCAATATAACCCCTGGGCCTCGTCAATCGTGTGGGTAGGCGGCGGCGGATAGCCACCACGAGAGTCACCGGCCTGCAGGGGCTGATGTTTCGTGGCATTCTACACCGAATACACTCAGCCATACACTGCAAATCACTCCATACGGGGCATTGCAAACTTGCCAGAAGGCCGCCAGTTGTCGACTGAAGCTCCTACTGTAATGTCCTGGCCTCCTTGCTGCGGCGGACCGCCCTCCACTTCTTCTCGTTCTGAGCAGACACCTTGCGATATGACAACGAGAGGTGACGGACGACCGCCTTTCTAAAACTTGTGAAAGTTGCCTCCGCGCCTGCCGCATCTGCTGGAAGTCGATGATGTAAACGGAGCCGGCGATGCGAACGCGGGCTTCGCTCTGCTGGCGCTGGAAGGCCTCCTCGATCCGCGCACTGGTCTCCGAATCGTAGGCCCGGAACTCATCGCCCACTCGCCAGGACCACGTGGCCATTGCGGAGGAAAGATGAGGAGATATGAGGAGAGCAGACGTAAACACGCGGGCGTGCGACCCGAAAATTCTCGAGCAATGCGGCCGCAGGATGTTTTGGTAGGTGAATGCTCCAAGACTCGGCCTTCTGTGCTCACAGCGCCATGCTCAGACCGCTGACGGTTGCCATTAGCACTTTGTAAGGCCGGGGGTGGCGGTGGCAATGGGCATAAAGCGTTTTAAGCTGGGACTCACCCTGTGCTGAGGCAATGGCCAAGTCGCCCACCGCCGCAGCGCTACGCCGGCCCTGCCTGGCATTTGGAACAAAGAGCTGTTGGCACACCCTTCGCGTGCAACTGCCAAACTTGCTCACTTGCGACTATAATTGTTTCGCACCTGTAACTGGTACCTGTAACTTTTCCTCACGTGCGACTACCGAATTTGCTCACCTACGACTCAAAACGACTATATCACTTGAGACTATACTGGCTCGTCCGGCTCGAGAGGGGTTGCTAACTCAGCTGCGACTAGAAAACAACGAACTTCCAACAACGACTGCCCTGTGTCTACACTCTACAGCTGGGTTAAGAGGAGTAACTCGGTTGGGATTCTGCGGATTTTCGCAGAACTCGACGTCGAAGAGATGATAGCCCGACAGACCCACGTGCGCACAGCAGGTCCCTCCATGTCCCTTCTGCTTTCGCGGCCTCCTCATCTCCACAGCCTAAGCAGCAGAGGCTCTGCTCCATTGGAAATATCCCAAGCTGTTTCTAGAGTCTGGAGTCTATGGTCCAGTTCAGGGTGAAGAAGTAGAATCTGCAGAAGCGGCGCGGCCTTTTTGCAGTCTTGGCTTCTGCCATGGGCGTCTCGTCCGAGCAAGGTCGCTGGCCCAACTGGGCGCTCACGAGAGGGCATGAGTCGCAAGATCCGGTACAGAGGCTCGTTACAAACGTTGCAACCTCCACCTCGTTCTGATGGCCATCATACCCTTACGGAGCAGCCCATGCTTGCCAAGCGCTCACTCCGTGCTGCCCAGGCCACCAGGCAAACCGCAGCAACCTGAGTCCATGCAGTGAGGAATCCGCCAGATGCGCATTGCTTCACAGAATGCGTTGCCGTCCCCTCTTGATGGTGCAGACACCTGACCTCACAAGTCGTGCAGCACGTGCCATGCTCAATCATCCGAAATATATTTTGCGATCAAACCACATAAAGACTAAACATAATAAACGCATGCGTGATCACAGACGCACGTGATGGTACACGCATGCCAAGATGTAGCGGGGCCCAAAACGCCCACATCCCAGAGCCCCCCCCCTTACTCCCATAACTGTGAAATGCTGGGCTCACTTGCCTTCAATCCCTACATCCTGATCCCGAACAGCCCCAAGCCCCGAACCCCTAGCCCAGAAACGTCCGACCCTCAACCCGAAAAACCTTGGTCCTGTGTGGGGCCCACACAAAACCCTACCGCAAAACCACAATTGACACCCTCAAACCCCAAAAAACCCTTAAAACCCTCAAAACCCCTCAAAACCACTCAAAACCCCGCAAAACCCCGCAAAAACCCCGCAAAAAGCCCCCGGAAACCCCTCAAAACCCCTCCAAAACCCCGGAAAACCCCCTCAAAAGCTGGCCTCAGAGCCAGGGCTGTAGCGCGGGGTCCCTGGCCAGCTCCTCCAGGCTGTGTACCTGCGCCCAGGCCAGGGTTGAGTCTTAAGGGTTTAGGGTTCAGTGTTCAGGGTTGAGGGTTTAGGGTTTCGGGTTTAGGGTTTTGGGTTTAAGGTTTTGCAGCTCTAGAGCCCCCCAAAGCCCCAAGAAACCTAAACCCCAAGCACCCTGAATCCTGCCAACGGGCTGTTGGGGCTTCGGGTCCAAAGGCGTTGGGGATGCCAGGGGCTGGCAGGCACACGCGCATCCGAGCGTATGCGGCTGCCAAGAGCATCTGAGGGTTGTTTCTTGTTGGGGTCCCTGAAGCACCTACCGTAGGCACTGCTTAGAATGGGATGCTACGAAGAAGTCCCAGAAACGGGGCTCCAACTTATGAAAAAACCATCTCGAGCCAGAGGAAGTCTTCTCGAAGGGTCGCGGAACAGCTACTCGGTCTTCATAGTGAGAAGGAGGAGGAGGAGGAAGCACCCCTCAGCTTTATACTTTCTCCACAACCCTCCCCCCCTTCACCACTTCCGGTCGACGCAGAGCCGTAACCCATCATGTCTGGGTCTCAGCGGCTGACCAAGGAAATGACTGGTTCGAAATTTGCACAAAGACCGCCAGATCGTGCGTCGCATCTGAAAGTCCCGAGCAGGAAGCGCGATCTGCCTGCAGCCATCAGCTACTGCTCTGCTCGCCCTTTTCACACTACCCTCCCCATCACGGGGCCGGTCAAGAGAGGGCCTGTCGCGCGGCACTGCCTGGTGTTTGCAGGTGGTTCGTCTGTTCAAAGCCGACCGGCGACAGTAGCGCATTGCCCAGATCCGACGGGAGGAATCTTGCATGCCGTGCAAAAGACCGCACCGACCGCATGGATCTGCACAGTTGTCCTGTGACATCCCTGTCATCTCCCTAGATCCTCCTCGAACTGACTCTCTTCCAGTGCGGGCATCACGTCCAGATCCCGGCATGCGGGAACCTGTCCAGGCCACCCTTCAGCTGGTCTGTGGTCACATGCCGCAGGCGCCAGCTGTCGTTCCAGAGCTGGCAGCACTGGTGACATGTATTCCGACAGCAATGAGGCCTGGTTGGCACTGCTCGCCATTTCAGCCTCTGCACTCCGCCACCACCAGCGGATATGTCAGAAACGGCCCGAAAGGATGATCCAGGGGTGGTGGCTCCTCACGTTCTTCATGTCGGCCTTTTGGAGCATCCGCCGGGTTCGTAGCCACTTGGCTCGCCTGACCTGCTGCCGCCTCTGCCGCCTTGCAGGGCTTCAGAGCCTTTGGGAGGACAAGCAGGTGATTTTGGAAGTGAAAGTTACCAACACATTCATTGAGCTGAAGCTAGTGTCGACCCCAGTGAATGTAGAATTAAGAGTTCGAATACTATTAGTATTTGCAACTCTTAATTCTACATTCACTGGCTCGTCGTCCCAAGCATGAGCTGCTGCGTCTCCCTGTTCTGCTGCTGCTGTGCGAGGTCTGGATGCAAGCAAGGCTTCCTCGCTGGGCGACAGGTTTCGGGAGTAATCTTCTGGGAGCTTGGGCCTCTCCAGCACGGACGCGCCATGGGCGGAACACAGGCGTCTTTTAGAGGCCTGTGTTCCGCCCATGGCGCGTCCGTCCCAAATTCAAATTTGCTCGGCGCAACCACGGCTGCGGCAGAGTCAGTACAAGCCTGTAGCAGCTCGTGAACAGCAGCACTACTGACTGTTCATGTGGAAGTACAGTGAACTCCAGAAAGTCGGAACATGGTTTAAGGATGACTAGAGCTGGGATTCCCTTTAGTATACCTTTTGGGGGTAGAGGGGACAAGGATGTCCCAACTTTTGGGGGTTTACTGTAGTCCTACGAGGCCAAGCCAACGCTTTCAAGGCAGAGGCAGCGGCCTGGAAGAAGTAGTTTAAGAAGAGCTGGTTGCACACCTGCAGTGACACTGGTCAACCTTGCTGGGAGGTGCAACCTTTGCGTTAGAAAATTTAGCTGGCGCCTGATGATTTTCCCCACGTTCTTTTATGTATTTGTCACAGCAATGCCGCCCAGCATTCTTATTGCTATTAACGGGCCGCGAATACAAGAACTTATATATGTGTAGGGGCCAATAATAATACAACATGTGGGGCCCGTGAACTCAACATTTTCTTCAAAAGAAACAAAGAGACGAGAATAATAGTGCAACAGCGCCAAGACAAGATCATCAGCCGATTCTCTGGCTTCGTTCAATCGCTTACTAGTTTCGTGCTTTCTGTCACTCAGAATGTATTAGCACGCTCTTTCTGATCACGCTGTTCATTCATTACGGATTCATTCACAAGGACGTGCGAAATGATAATATGTTTAGTAGGGCTTCATGGTAGATCTTTTGACTCTTTGAGACGTAATTCTTTCTTGGGAGTTTCTGGGTGATCTCTTCATACGTCCATAGACGCATTCTCTCGGGCATTGCTCCAGACACTACTCATGTCCAACAAAAGATTCCAATTGGCATCAGCCGATCTGACGCCGAACAACTACGAGTCTTCAAGAGGAACTATGGGATTTGGTATTCAGCAAGTCGAATGTAGGCTTCACGGTGCCTCCTGTGAGGAGTAGATCTTGCAGCCCGAGAAGGAGACGATGAAGTCACCATGCTCGAAGGTGGAGTGCGTCAGGAGTGCCGAAGACACCAGAGGTGGATATCCTGCGCGGCATGTAATTGAGAGCGTTTTCAGCTGCTATCTCTGCCTTTTGAATCTTGGCGGGTAAGACTGAGGGTACAGCGAGTCGGAGAACCGCAATTGCCTGGTCGACACGCCTGCACTTCCTGTCCCGAAGCAGACCCTGCCATAAACCCCAACCATCTCCATCCCAGCCCTACACCCCAAACCCTCAGCCCTAAACCTCAACCCTAAACCATCAACCAGCCCGAAACCGGGTCCGTTGATCGTCTTCTGCGCCACGGGCGCCCAAGCCGCCGCGAAACCCAGCGCGGGGCCCGAGGCCGCCAAGTCCCGGCCTCCGCGGGCTTCGGCCAAGACCTGAGAACTTCGAGGCTTGGAGGTGCCGCCTCGGGTTTAGGGCTTAGGGTGTTGGGTTTCGGGGTTTAGGGTTTATATAGGGTTCAGGGTTTAGGGTTGAGGGCTCGGGGGGAGGGGAAGAATCCCTTTCGGAAATTTGATTCCCTTCTTGAGGTCTGTGCCTTTTGTGTCGATCTTTTTTTCCCATGGCCCCACCTCTGAAATCTGAAAAGGGCGCGACTGTTGTCACACTCATACTTAGGGTACGGGTACGGGGTATCTCCAATAAGGGACCATGATGTAGAGAACTACCAGTATTAAAGAACTGACATGAGCTGACATAACGGACCAATCTTAGGGATGCCTACGATACTGCAATCGAGCCACAAACGGGAATTGCAGCAGGTAGACCTTGTCACAATGGCCGGTAGAGGAATTTGCACACCCGCACATGGAATGACCGAACAGGCCAGATCGCACATACAGCCTTGTCAAGCGGTGCAGTCAAGTCGCCATGGCAGTCTGTTCCCACCAAGGATGTTGTGTGACAGGGCTGCGTCCGAAGGTCATCCAGCGTACTTTCTGGAAGAACGCCCTTGGCTGATTGCTCCTGACGCCCTCCCAAATTGCCAAAAGCATCGAAACTTTGCTCTGCTTTTGCAAGACCAGCCAACACAAAAGGCTTCTGCAAGGCAGGCAGCCAAGACCAAATGGAAGCACGAGCGAGCCTAGGCTCCGAGAGGACTCCAAACCCTTCCAAAGGCAGCTGCCAAAGGCAGTGGCTTTGCAAGCGCAGGAATTAAGTAGCTTGAGTCGATTCATCATGTACTCATCTCAAAAATCTCAACACCCACTGCCATGACTGGAGGGCATGGTAATACTCTTGTCTCTCAAGCGTAGCTTTGCAAGCAATCTCAGGGTCGCGCATGACGCCGGTATTCAGCATCAAGCCGTCCTGCACCCAACTGCAAAGACATACCGGACACAGCCGTCCCAAGCGATTGTCCACCTAGCGCAAGACTGCTGGAAGTCCTCGGATGCCACCAGTTGCGGTCTCGTCTCCCGGAAGAGCCACTCGGACCAACCTTGCTCTTCAAGCAAACATGTCGAAAAGAGAACATAAGGAGGGAGGTTCAGTCCAAGGATGTCCCAAAGTCTCCCCTTCGAAATAAGGTCACCTGCAAGGTTGAGACAAGTTGCCCAATGTTCGGTTGGAGGGGGCGGTTGCCGGAGGCTCAAACCTGGGAGTATGAACAGACCACACATCTGCCCTCCACTGCAGGCGAGGATCCTGAAGCCTCTGCCAGTAGTGCTTTCACATTGCAACAACTCCTAAGCCAAAACGTGACGAGGGTCGCATCACAGCCGGCACCCTCCACCGCATAGCTCTCAAGCAGATTGTCGTACCAATCCAGGAGACTCTCTGGCTCCTGTGCTCTGCTGATTGGTCGGGTCAGGGGTCTCACATGCACAAATGCTGTGGGTGTCTCTGCTCACTCATGTCACATTGCGCATCAGGGTGGCACTCTGAAGTGAGCCTGTGTGGGCCTGGCGGGAACTACCAGTGGAAATCTCCGAGCTTCCTTCTCCGGCCCGGTCTGCCACTTCGCGACCAGATCCCGAAGCCGAGCCTCGCTGCGAACTCGCTGCAACTCGCATGTGTGCATTGGGTGCAGGGTTTTTCATGCTTTATTTCCAAACATCTCAAGCCCCCCGACCGCGTCATCGCCGGGCGCCGCCGGGCAGCGGCTCTCCGCGAGGGCGATGACCTCCTCCAGACGCACCTGCCCGGCTGAGCCCGGCTGAGCCGGGCTGAGCCCCTCTCGGCTTCCCTATTGTTGGCGCCGCGCAAGGCTCGGAACAGGACAGGTCGCGTTTCAGGCAACGTTGCAATCTTGAGGTGAAGTGCTGCTCTCTCTCTCCCTCTCTCACACACACAAAAAGACCTAGTCCCGGCCTCCGGATCCATGAAGAAGGAATCACAGTCTAACCACATCACCTGACTGGCCAGAAAGAAGCGAGCAGCCCGCATGGACATCCCAAGTTCGGGACACGACCTGAAATCCCCCTCAACCCTGGTCCACTCCGCTTGCCAGAAACACAGGAACAACTAGCAGCTAAGGCGGGCAGGACACCCAGTCGTGACGGCCCTGTGCCAGTGTCTCCAGCAGAGCATCCACCTGAAGGACCAGCACAGGAAACGCGCGCGTTGAGTCAGGGGAGGACTTCCAATGCACTTAGAAGCCCCGGCCCCGAAACCCTGAACCCTTCAGTCATAAACAATCCTCAAACCTTAAACAACCGTTAAACCAACTTAAACCCTAAACCTTATAAACCCTTCTCTCTCTCTGCGACTCTCGGCCTTGGACCAGGCGGGCGGCCGGTGCGCCAGCGGCTCCGTGAGAAGCTCCGCCAAGGGATCGGCAAAGAGAGGCGCCTTCTCCTAGGGGGAAACTCGCGTGACGCCCGCCTGCTGCATGTGGGTGGCTCTCCAATGAGGATCCCTTTTGGGATCCTTGATTTATAGAAGGGCCGTACTATAGGGGACTCAACAGGGCACCATCCAAGCGGCATACATCACTACGTCGTAGCCGTGCATCTTGGCATATGCATCTCCTGGGTAGCATCGGCGGTGAACCCCCAAGTTCCTGCCCCCCGGCACACAGAAACAGGCTTGACTGCCGATGAAACGGCAGAATACCCCAAAGCACCACAGCCAGAGCTTCTGTTCAGCTTCGACAATCTGGCAAGCGGTGTCACAGTCGGATCATAGTCGCAGACCGTCACCTGAAGCGCAGCAGCACGTGCGAAGCCAGCCACCCGTGCAGCCCAGCAGGCGATACAAGAATCACCGCATTCTTTTCCTCCCCCTCCCCCCTCCTTTTGCTTTGCTTGCCCAGGCGGCGATGGCGACGCGCCGTTTCGCTGCACCCCGAGTTGCCGCTGCGCGCGCGGGGAGGCTGCGCCACGGCTCGGCCTGTTTGCAGAAGCAGCTTTTTGCAGCAGCATCTATTTGCAGCATTTCAGCCATATGCAGCTTTAGAGACTCAGATAGGACCTGAATGGCGTTTCATGGTACGCAAGTGACAGCTTGACATTGCGCGGCTCGTACAATCCCGGCCTGCACCTCATGCTGCTTCAGAAAGGCCATGGAACCTAAAGAGCCAAGGGGTGCGTATCACATGTCATATCTTAACTTCACTAGAGATGATATTGTATAATTTGAATATTTTAATCAATATTGATTAAATCACAGAGCCGGGGTGTGGCAGATTTCATCTTTCTGCCGAGTAGCGCAGGATGCCCTCCATGTTCTGCTTCCAATTGATGGGCCAGGGGCTGTCGTTGATGTAGTCCTCTTGAATCCATAGGAGAATCTTGGAGCCTAGGGCACCCCCCACTGCAGAGCCCCAAAGGGCTCTTGCAGCCTTCCGAGTCCTCGCCCTTCATCTGGTAGTCGTAGGACCCGAAGATGGCTGACAGCTGCCGAAACCTCTTGAACTGGCGCCCCCTGCTTCGCAAACCCTGATGCCCTGACACCCTGGTACCCCAAGTCAAAATAAATGGCCTGGGCGCCACCATCCCCCCATGTGAATTTGCGAAAACAAAGCTCCCAAAAACCACAGGATGTGGGAGCTGCACTGTCCTTCAAGAACCAGGCCTGGCGGCCAGGACCGGTCGCTGCAGCTGATCACCTGGGGCTTGGGGTTTGAGGGTTGAGCGGAGGGGTTTCTCATTAATGCGAGCTTCAAGCTACAAGTGGTATTCCTTCTTGACTATTTCCATGTCAAAAAGTTCACCCACACAGGCAGACGTAGCAGTGGCTTCTGTGACGACAAAGCTTCAACATTGTTCGAAATATGGGCCTTAGGACGAAGGTTTGATGACTTGGACCTGTGCCACGCTATCTCGTTCCTCTAGAACCTCCGTTTGAGTAGCAACGGTTTGAAGCCTTGCATCGTAATTTGCCCAACATGAATCGCATCACGGCCGATTACCCTTTCTTAAGCAGCACGCGATCTGAAGGCAGAACCTTAATGCTGTTATGCGCTCAGTACAGAGCCATAACCCATCATGTCGAAGCGCATGGCAGCACGTCCTTCCGGGTCTCAGCGGCTGACCAAGGAAATGAGCGGTTCGAAATCTGCATGAAGGCCGCCAGATCGTGCATCGCATCTAACAATCCCGAGCAGGCAGCAGGATCTGCCTGCAGCTATCAGATACTGCTCGCCCTTCTCACACTGCTCCCCATCACGGGCCGGTCAACAGAGGGCCTGTCGCGCTGCACTGCCTGGTGTTGTAGGTGGTTCGTCTGTTCGAAGGCGACCGGCGACAGCAACGCATTGCCCAGATCCCGAAGGGAGAAGTTTTGCATGCCGGGCCAAAGACGGCAACCGACCGCATGGATGTGCACAGTTGCCAAGACACGACATCCCTAATAATAAGAAAAGAATCATCATCATCATCATCATCACCATCATGACAGTAATAATGATAATTATATTAATTTTCATAATAATAGTAGTAACAAATAATAATAATAACAACAATATAATAAGAAGAAGAACAATAAGAACATAATAATAATAATAATAATAATAACATCACAACAACAACAACAACAACAACAACAACAACAACAACAACAACAACAACAACAACAGCAGCAGCAGAAGAAGAAGAATAAGAAGAAGAAGAACATGATAACAATAAGAAGAAAAACAATAACAATGACAAGAACAATAACAATAACAATAACAATAACAATAACAAACACAATAACAATAACAATAACAATAACAATAACAATAACAATTACAATAACAATTACAATAACAGTAAAAATCACAATCACAATCACAATCACAATCACAATAACAATAACACTAACACTAACACTAACACTAACAATAACAATAACAATAACAATAACAATAACAATAACAATAACAATAACAATAACAATAACAATAACAAACAACAATAATAATGATAATAATGATAATACATACCGTTTTTTATTTCAATAATGATAAGAATAATAAAAATATATTAATAATAATAACAACAATGATAATAAGAAATCATATTAAGCAGAGGAAGAATATGAATAACAACAATACCAACCCTGTCATCCCCATAGATCCTCCTCCGAATCGCTCTCTTCCAGAGAGGGCATCACGTCCAGATCCCGGCATGCAGGAACCTGTCCAGGCCACCCTTCAGGTGGTCGGTGGTTACATGCCGCCAGGCGCCAGCTGTCGTTCCAGAGCTGGCAGCACTGGTGACATGTATTCCGACAGAAGTGAGGCCTCTCTGGCACTGTTCGCCATTTCTGCCTCCCCAACACTTCTTGCATAAACCTCCTCTCCGCCACCACCATCGGATATGTGAGAAAAGGCTCGTAAGGATGATCCAGGGGTGGTGGCTCCTCACATTCTCGATGTCGGCCTTGTGGAGCATCCTCCGGGTTCGAAGCCACCACATGGCTCGCCTGACCTGCTGCCGCCTCTGCCGCCTTGCAGGGCTTCAGCTCCTTTGGCAGGCTGCGGCTCCTCCTCCTTTGCGGGGTCGACACTTCTTTCAGCTCGATGAAGGTGTTGCTAACTCGTACTTCCAGAGTCACCTGCCTGTCCTCCCAACAATCCTGGTTTGCTGTTGTGCGAGGTATCGATGCAAGCAAGGCTTCCTCGCTGAGCGACAGGTTTCGGGAGTAATCTTCTGGGAGCTTGGGCCTCTCCCAGCAGCAGCAGAAAGAGGCTTGCGTTCCGCCCATGGCGCTTCCGCCCCAAACTCAAATTTGGTCGGCTTGACCACGGCTGCGGCAGAGACGTGAAGATCATTGGGAAGAACTCCTTATGTTTTACATTTGGTCCGACAGACCCCAGACCTCCAGCTTCAGAGGCGCCGGGGAGGTCTAGCTATTTGAGATCCCTGGGAAGAAATACCTCCCAGCAGGTATATGCTCCGGAGGGCACCCTAGCCCCGAGCCCTCAAGGAGTCACCACCTGGGGGGTTGTTCTGGGTTAGGCCAAACCCTAAACCCTAAACCCTAAACCCTAAGGTCCCTAGAGTATCCCCTGAACCCCTAAACCCCCTATAACCCGGCTCCATGCACGCGCGGGCGCAGCACTGCGCGGCCAGCGCCAGCGCCGAGGCCACGGCGGTGGCGCAGCTGAAAGCCGCCTCTTGTGGGCCCCCCCCCCGGCTCTCAATGCATGTTGTTAGGGTTTTTCTTTCAAAATAGGGGGTACCCTTACTACACCCCAAAATAGTATAATAACCCCGAATAATCCCTAATTATAGGAACCCCCACAAGGGTGTTAGGGTTTTCAAAAAAATTTGAGTCCTTGGACGCCTGTAGGATTTAAGAAAATGCGAATCGCTCGGGCAACTAGGGTCTGGCCGCCGGGCCTCAGTGCTCTGCGCCACCGGCACGAGGAGCCTTGCACACATGGGGGTTTCCGAGATAGGGGGTATCTTATCGGGATCCTGACTATAAGGGAATCCTGCTATTTGGGGTCGATAGGAGGGGTGCCTTGTTTTCGTAAACCGCCATGTTGCACTTGCTGCCAGGAAGATGTAGGACACAAAGGTTAGCTGTTCAATCGTTCCATGAAGTCATGATCATCATCCCCTGCACTCCTGTGTCTGCTCAGCTCCTGGGCCCATCTCTGCAAAGCGGCTCCGCCAGCCGCAGCAGCGCGGGCTCGAAGTCGCGGTTGTTGAACTCCTTCACAACCTGGTTGCACCCAAAGATACTCGAAGTCTTTATGACATGGGTGGGTGAAGCCCTGTCTCAAGGGACTCGGTCACTCCTGAGCATGAAGTCCTGAAGGCTCATGTCCGGACACCCCTAGGCCACTTTCTTGTTCCGCCAGCTTAGAGGCTCTTTGGGTGGGCCTGCGCGCGGAAAGAGCCCCTACAGGGCCCTTCAAGTCCTCTGAGATTCTCCGACACCTCCCCCATGGGCCCCGCCTCTGCAAGCCCACCGTGGAAGGCGATCCAGCGCCTGAGAGCGCATGCAGGGTCTTTGAACAGGGAAGAAACAGAAGTTGGGGTATATAATAAATAGGGGGGAGGGAAATATTTGGGGCTTTTGTATCGTGAATGGCGGGTACCTCTCACTGTGCGATCTTGCGACCCCTAAGCCACGAAGAGTTCCTCCAAGCCACTCCTGGCCACAGAAGTCCAAGCCGATCCACTGCCTGGCAATGCGCAGGAGCTTGCAATGTGCCGGCGGCTTGGAGCCTATGATGGGTTCGGGGGGTTGAAGGGTTTTAGGGTTTGAGGGGTTCAAGGCTTTGGGGTTTAGAGCTTAGGGCCTAGGAGGGAAGGGTTTAGGGGCTTAGGGTTTAGGGGCTTAGGGCTGAGGAGGGCTTAGGGTTCCTGCCCTTCCCGCGCTCCTGAGCCCGGCTGGCAGCTGCGTCTCGGGTACGGGGGGCCCCTGGGCCACAGTGCACCTCGGCTGCTTGAGGAGTGACCGTCTCCACAGCTTTAGGACTTCAGGGCTATCACTTGAGGGTCTCTCCTTCGGGTCCCTTTTGTACCGGGGAAGCTTCGCGTCGGCACTCCCCATGGCAAAAGGCGTCAAATTGGGCATCCTGTTTTTGCAGAACCCACCCCCCCCCCCCGCCCCCCCCCACCTGGCACAGAGCACCCCCAATGCCGCCAGCCGCCTCCAGACCCGGCCGCCCATGGCCGTCCGCTTGAGGCGTCAAGGTGGTGCGATGTTGAACCGTTGAACCCTTGAACCCTTGAACCGTTGAAGCCTGAAGATCAAAGGCTCAGGCATGCCGAGGTTTTGAAGAAGGACTTGGGATGCGCTGGGGTGTTTAGGGCTATGGCTAGAAGGCTCTGGCGTTCCAGGGCCCTAGGGTTGCAAGCTCACATCGGGCTTGTTGGGCTTGTTGTTGGGGCTTGCAGCCCACGAGACATTGCAACTGCCAAGTTGGAGGCCACACTTCCTTGAGCACATCGGAGCTCTTCGCTGCACGCGGCTGCACCATGCTGCACCCCTCACTTCCATCAAGAGCTCAGAAACCTCTGGGCCCCCTTGCCAGCGACTCACTCAGCCGTGAGTCGGCCAGGCACCTGTGCTCCTTCGAACATGTCTTTGTCCCGGCACCACGAAAAAAGGAGCGAACCAAAGCTCCAGGCATAGTGCCTGGACTCCAAACTCTATCTGGGCCAGCATTTCAGCGGCCAGGGCTGGTCCTCTAACTGGCTCTCCAGATCGATTGGCGTTTGCACCTACCACATGATGCAACAGGAGCAAACTTTTGTTGCCGTCAAAGCTACTGGTTCCTCTTTTCGGGCATGCTTAGAGCACATGGTTGCAGGCACTCCAGCCAAACCAGTCCGTTGCGCCTCGGGGCGGCTGGCGGCGCTTGCAGCCTGGGCCAGCGCTTGCATCTGGACGCATGCTTTGCCTACACAAACAACTGGGTACCTCTGCATCCGCTACTGCGCCCAGACCATGCACCGTGCAGATGCCGGTATGCACACCCTAGTGCTGTTCCCGCGTTGCACTGACACTTTGGCATACTTTGGCCATGCTCCCCGTCTCCGCTACATGTGGCTGGCGCCACGAGCTGAGCTGGTTGCAACGTCGACTTTCGCCGATGGGGGAGAAGCCTTTTGCTTCAACCCGGATGGAGACCCAAAACGCCCCCACCAAGTTTAGGTGAAACAACGGGCCTCAGAGGACGGCAGGGGCCCAAAGGCCCGTGAGGAAGGCCCGGTAGTTGACCTGAGAGCCTTGGCCTGCAAGCAAGAGCTCCACAGCCTCGGGATCCGTCCCAATGCTCTCCAGGATCGACTTCAGCCGCGAGCGAAGGACGATCCCCTTGTTGTCGGGGTCATGATCTGCCAAGGAGCGAGAAATGGGGGCTTACGAAAACTGGGGACACGAAGAGAAACGCCCACATGGTAGGATTCCCTGATGATAAGGGCCCCAGTAAGGTCAGCCCCCTATTTGCGGAAACCCCCACATGGCTCTGTGGATTTTGCACACGCAGCCGAAGTCTCACATCCGATTTTTCAGGCGAGCCTGGCCTTGGAAAAGACTTTGCACCCTTTCCAGCGAGCTTCTGGGGGATGCGGGATGCCTGTACCGGAAGCCATCAGTATTCAGGAGGGCTCTTGGGGTTTAGGGTTTGGGCGGTTTGGGGTTTAAGGCTTCGGGCTTTGGGGCGCAAGAATGATGCCTAAGGCTCGTGGATTTGGAGATGGGGCTTTTTGCCGACGGTTGAGACGAGATGTCTGCCCCCCACGTGCGGCAACGCACCCCTCTGCCCCGCCGGGGCCAACATGGGCCAACCTGCCACCCAAACATGCCCCAACATGTGCGTCTTCATTGTCTAGATCATACAGAAACCACCCCAAACGTCATCACCCTGAACCCTCATGCCCAGGAAGTGAGAAATCGAGGGATGCCACAACCTTCCCTCCGAGATGTGGCCGGCCTGGGCAGCTTGGCCTGCGCGCGGTCTTTGAGGTCTTGTGCGTTCGGGGCTTGGAGTTTAAGAGGGGTTTTTTGGAGAGCTTCGGCTGCAATGTCTTTGAAGACGGTTGAAGGGCAGGTCTCCTCATAATATCATAATGAAGTGAGTTTACGCACTCACCGTTCATTGCAGTCGTTCTTTCCCTTCGTTCATTCGCTCCTGCATGAACTCTATTATTGCTATCTTCATTCTCTGGGCTATTATTCTACTATCTGTACGGGCTAATAGTAAAACCATCAGCTGGCAAGGCAGGTTCTCAGGCGTTTCAGGGATGAGAAAAAGAAAGGCGACTTAGATTGGCAACGCCCGCCTGAAGTAGGCTTCTGCACTCGAAGTAGTCAGCGGCGCCGTGACCTTGCAAGGCGCCCTTTAAAACGAATGTCTTATCTTGGCGGGTCCCAGAAGCCTTAGCCCAATCTCATGGCGCTGAACCCTGTCATCATGCTGCTGTCTAACCGGCCTTCGAGGTAGCCGGCCGGCTGCGCTTCCGCCACCTCTGACGGGTTTGGGGGTTTAAGGGCCTCCTGTTCCTGTGAAGACATGGTTCTCACTTCTTGACATTCTTTGAACTATAGAAGATGATGCCTATTCCTGGAATTCATTTGATTTGCTATTTCTCTTGCTGCTACCTAGGGTTCAAGGCTTAAGGTTCTGGTTTGCACGCATCCCCTGCGTCCGACCTCCAGGGGCGTGAGGCCACTGTAATTTTCGAGCGCTGCATTGGCGCCCTTTGACAGCAGCACCTGCTTTCCAGGTGACTTCGCGTTCACTGAAAGGAGAAGGAATCCACAAAGCTAGAATCTGATTTCCCTCGACTGCACAGGCAAGGACAGCCCAGAAGCATGAGGCTCTTAGCTTGGGATGATCTAGATGCCCGTCCGGGAGCACCGGCAATCCACAGAAGACCCTCCCCAGAAGACAGTGCCTTCACCGCGGCAGCGCTTCCCACAAACGCGGCCCAGTGCAATGGCGTGTCTCCTTCGCTGTCCTGGCCTTAATCACAGTTGCTCAGTTGCTCAAGAACCTTGCACAAACTTGCTATTTTGCAGCCGTAGAGCCGTTGATGTCCATCCCCAGCTTCATGAACAGCTCGAGCAAGCCCTTCAGCGACTCCTCTTTGCCTCCGGCTGGACGTGAGGAGCGGTTGAAAAGAGTGCTCACACCACCACGCTGACCTCTCACGACTGGCCCCCTAGGAGATCTCAGCTTGTAAGACAAGCCAACGCAGATCGGCAATGGGCTAAAGTTGCTGAAGAATCTCCCCTGCATTGCATAGGCAAAGCACAAACCCGTCCTTGACAAACTTGCCGCAGCAAGTTCACGACTGCAAACCGAACGGACGAGCAAATGTACAAAACCGAACAATAAATCTATGTGGATATGCATATTCATGTTTTGTACATGACTGTTTGTGTATCGACATACACACACACACACACACATACAGTCGGCGTTGCTTCATAGACCCTCGGAGGCACTTCTGGCGTTGGGTAGCCCAGCAGCAAGTCTCTCAAGAAGTCTAGAGTCTAGAAGAAGACAAAGCAGAGTGGAGCATAGTAGAATCATGCTGGCTCAACAAGAGAAACGGGCATTGATCATTGCTCGTTGATTCTTGACATTCGGCCCTGGCGTGCGTGCCTCGCCCTGCCGCGGCGACGTGCAGCGCCGATTCCCCGAACGCGCCCAGCAAGCGCTGTGCGGTGAGGTGGACCTTGAGGCAGGGCCCCTTCCACACCCGCTACGCAAGTATCCGGAACCCTGAAGTCTAGACTTCAGCTGCACAGTCCCAACTTCAACCCCAGACCCCAGACGCCAAAGCTGACCACCCTGAGCCCCAGAGCCCAAAACCTGCACTCCGAAACGTTGGCAGATCAGACAAGTGGCGCCGACGCGCTGCAGCTCCATCGCCCGCTGCGCAAGCTTGTGCGCCATCTGCAGGTCGTTCCTCGAGAGAGGTAGTGTAAAACCACAACAGGGTTTCGGGTTCAGGTCGGCCTATTGACGTGCTACAAGACTTGCAATGTGCCAAGAATCTCCAGGTCGAGATAGGCGACATGCAACAAAGCCGCACCCAGAACGCTGGAAGGAATGGTGGTGTTCAAACCTTGGAGGCCCAACATCCAGTCATGATGCACATGTGCTTTGACGGCTCTTGTTCGGACGGGCACGGCGAGAAGCCCCGCTGAATTGTTAGCTCACCTGCCCAGCGGCGTGACTCGAACCCACTGATCCCGTGCTTTCCACTCGACAACCTTTGCAAGGGCGCAGCTGTGGGCCACACTTGGGTCCAACACATTTACATACATTTACCATGCCATCAACACGAGATACTGACAAGAAGCTGATGCAGGATCATCTGCCGATCCGCGCCATGCGAGCAGATGCAGCTCTCGGCCTGAATGGCAAGGGTGGACAAGGACTCCGCCGTCTCGGCGTCGAAGGCGCCGAAGGCCCAGCATCCATTGTCGAAGGGGCGCATGGTCGCCAGCGTTCCAGTTGTGCTCGCCAAGTCCCATCCAAGATTCAGCTCCTGGGCACGGAAGGCTTCGAACAGCATCCAGAGGCTTGGCCTGCTGTCTTTCCACCGCTCTGCAGTCTTCCGGCTGAAAACGAGGACGTAGCCGGAGCTCTGCGCCAGGGCCTGCTGCGCTTCGCTCTCCAGAATGTCCAGGCTGCCCAAACGGTTGAGATTCACTTTGTCGGACTGCACGCGGCACAGGGCGTCGATGAAATAGGTCGCCCGATCCGATAAGGACCGGGCTTCTGCGTGCCACTCGATGGAGTCGAACATCTCTGAGAGCGGCATGTCCCAGGAGCAGGTCAGGAAGTAGTCCGGCTTTTGGACCTGAAAGCGGGGAAGCCACACAGTAAAACGCAACAAGAACCCACACGGGTTCCGAGTTCCAAGGAAGGATCCCACGTGTCCGCACTTTTCTGTGGTGTTTGACGTTGCTCGGCCTCCGTCTGGAAACACTGCGAGAGGCGGCACCCTGGCGGCTTCATTGCCTGCGGAGTGAGACACTGACACAGGGTTGTTGTTCCTAAACCAGGGCGGGGTCATGTTCGAGAGGGAATGCTGTCAGCGAGATGGCAAGAACCCCGAAACACCCAAACTTCCTCTTCCCTTCAAACCCAAACCCTATAGGCTCGTCATACTTCAAGCAGATGGCCAGCTGATGCCCGTTCTCTGAGTTCTGGGCCCTTTTCGGGCGCCCTAGGGTGTGAGGTCCCGTACTCTGACGGGTACCAAACTGGACTCCAACACTAACACCAACACACACATAAACCCAACAAAAGTCCTAAAGCACAAACTCCGCAAACCCCTCGACGTTGAAGCTACCAACCCTCGACCCTCAGTCCTCCAGGACAGCTGTCCCAGCTCCCCCACAATCGGACCAAAGATCCCGCGAGGTGACTTGGTCCCAGGGCAGGTCCGCCCGCTCCTGCGGAAGAAGGGGTGTTAACAGTGTTCAACTGACTGGAGGTGAGCGATCAACGAACAGCTGATGAAAAATTAAATGCACCTAACTCAAGTATGCGCATAGATATAAACATATGCTTGAAAGCCGGGCGAACGAAAGCTAGGGAATGGCTGTAGCTATCAGGCTCAACTCTGCAAATGCTTCATGCTACGGGACAATATTCCCCTCAGCCCCTCCCCCCCCCCCCCTTCCCCGGGATGTGCTCGGGGCTCCGAACTCAGGTGCTTCTGCAGCAAAGACCGCACGATGCGAAGCTGCGCCAGCGTCAGCGCAGCATCCTCGGGAGGAAGCGGCACCACCTCAGGGCGCCCCAGCACATCCGATTGAGCTTGGACTTCAAACTGGCTTGCTCCGGCGGCCTCGTCGGCAGAAGGATAGCAGCACTTGAGCTCTGACGAGTCGGCGATGTGCCAGTCCTGTAACTTGTCAGCGAGCAGATATCGTTGACGGGTCGGCAAACACTTAGTTTGGAATGTTGACAAGCTGGGCTGCTGATGGCATTGACCGTAATTAGGAACGAAAACACACTGTAATGACTAATGACTGCACTGACTTCACTTGTCAAGCATAAACCCACATGACACACGCCCAAAAGTGTACTTCGTGCCACCCGCGGTCCACCAGGCCGCGGGCACGGAGAGAGTTCTCACAGGCGCGGCGGATGTTCTCATCCAAGTAGAAGAACTTCCTCGGGGCCTCCTTCACATGTTTCCCCTTCAAAGACTCCAGAATTTTCACGCGCCTGCAAACTTTAGGGTTGTGGATGCAGCTGCCAATGCGGTTGCAGTCCGGTCCTCTGTGACGAGTTGGTGTTCGAAGGCATACTCCGGCTTCCCGTTCGTCCGGAAGACTCCCGCCACCTCTTCACGTATCGCACCGGTCTCAGCAACAAGGCAAAGCTGCCGTTATTGCACAAGGCATCCTCGGAATGCCAATTTCCTGGAACCCTCTCCTAGTTGCCAGTCCAGGCTGTTTGCATCAGCGGCACAGAAGAGCATGGGGCATGCGTGCATGAACAACATGAGGTGGAGCGCGAGGCGGGCTTCTTGGGAGTCAGGAACAACCCAAAGCAACCAGACCCCACCTTCTCCTCTGTACCCGCGGCCAGCCGAAGTCGCCCATCCACCTGGGCCGTGAGGCCCCGGAGCTCGGTGGACTCGTCCACTGCTTCCTGGAACTTGGAGGCTCCGTGCAGTGCTTAAACTGTGGCTCCACAGCTCCTGAAGTCTTCAAGCACCAGAGCGCCGCGAGAGCCACAGGTGTCTGAAAGCAACACAGAGGCGCCTCCAAAAGCCGCTCTCAACCTCCAGACCACCCTCGAAAGCGGAAAGGTCTACTATATCTGTCTTTTCAACAGTGCTCATATGACAAAGGCTACTGGCACTACTATTCTTAACACTCTATTCCATTCTTTAAGCCCCAACGGCCAAACATCTCCCAAGCTTCGGAGAAGTAGGAGTGCGCGATGTAGTTGAGGATGCGCCGGCGGTCGGAATCCTGCGAGGCCTCCGCCTTGCAGGTCTCCAGGGCCCGGAGCGCCTGCTCTGCTGCATCTTCGGCTTTGCAAGGAGACCGGAAGGTTTTTTAGGGTTTTGGGGTTTTGGGTTCAAAGTTTAAGGTTTAAGGTTTAGGGTTTGGGGCTCATAGGGTGGTTTTGGGGTTTAGGGTAAAGTTTAAGGTTTAGGGTTCATAGGGTGCAGGAAGGCAGGCTGCTGTTCCAAGAGCCATTCTCATGCCAGCAAGGAGTGCTCAGCGGACCAAGCGGGGGACCTTATGAACCAAGATCCTAAGCATCTCTAAACCATGCCGCGAAACCCCTGAACCCTAGAACCCGAAGCCCTAAACCCCCACAAGCTCAGACCCAAACCTTAGGACCTAAACCCTAAACCCTGAAACCCTAAACCCTGAAACCCTGAACCCTCAACCCCTGAACCCTCTCTAAACCCTAACCCCTTGAAAACCCTAACACACCAAACCCTTCCAAATGTTCATGTCCCCCTGGGCGCTTCTTGTGCCTCAAATAAATACATACATACATAAATAAATAAATAAATATATATATATATATATATTTCTATATATATATATATATATGAAAGAGAGGGTTTAGGTTTTAGAGTTTAAGGCTTTAGGCCCTTCGTGCACCTCAAGCACCGGCCCTGATGTGACCCGCCGGGATCCGACCAGGCCAGCCTGGTGGTGGCAGTGGGGTCTAGGGGTTAGGGTTTAGGGTTTAGGGTTTAGGGTTTAGGGTTTAGGGTTTAGGGTTTAGGGTTTAGGGTTTGGGTGGCAGTTAGGGTTTGGGGTTTAGGGTTTGGGTGACAGTTTAGGGCTTAGGGTTTAGGGTAACAGCGGTGTGGGGAGCTAGCGCATAGGTCAGGGACTCCGTCAGGGACTTGATCATCGATGGTCCGAATTGTCCTCTAAGCTGCGCTAACCCACACAGGCAACCGCAGCAGTGGCTTCTGCGACGACAAAGCTTCAACATTGTTCGAAATATGGGCCTTAGGACTAAGATTTGATGGCTCGGACCTGTGCCACGCTATCTCGTTCCTCTAGAACCTCGGTTTGAGTAGCAACGGTTTGAAGGTTTGCATCGTAATTTCCCCAACATGAATCGCATCACGTCCGATTACCCTTTTTTCAAGCAGCACGCGATCTGAAGGCAGAACCTAATGTTGCTACGGTCAGCCAGCCAAGGGCGCGGAAACTCAGACTCGCGACGACGGCATGGCCCGGCACACGTTCAGACATCTGAATACCAGAACGACAAGAAGTCCTCGGAGTCTGCAGCACATGCGGTTGTCGTGGTGTTGGCCTGTGCAGAATGGCATTGTGCACCTTTCGCCTGCAAGCACTCGCAGGGATACCAGCTGCCTCGAGATTCCTCCACAGTATGACAATAATAATCAGAAGAAGAAAATAACAATATTGGTAACCATAGTAATAATGGGAATAATCGCACAAAGAATAATAATGGTAATAATAAATACTGATAATATAGTAAAAATATAAAAAAAAAACAATAATAGTAATAATAAGAGTAACAACAATAATAATTGTAATAATAATATTAGTAATACTAATGAGAATAATAAAAATAATAACCCTGTCATCCCCATAGATCCTCCTCGGAATCGCTCTCTTCCAGAGAGGGCATCACGTCCAGATCCCGGCATGCGGGAACCTGTCCAGGCAACCCTTCAGCTGGTCTGTGGTCACATGCCAGCAGGCGCCAGCTGTCGTTCGAGAGCTGGCAGCACTGGCGACACGTGTTCCTACAGAAGTGGGGCCTCGCTGGCACCTTTCGCCATGTCAGCCTCCTACGTACTTCGCGCATGAACGCGCGCTCCGCCACCACCATCGGATATGTCAGGAACGGCTCGAACGGATGATCCAGGGGTGGTGGCTCCTCACGTTCTTCATGTCGGCCTTGTGGAGCATCCTCTGGGTGACCTGCTGCCGCCTCTGCCGCCTCTGCCGCCTCTGCCGCCTCTGCCGCCTCTGCCGCCTCTGCCGCCTTGCAGGGCTTCAGCTCCTTTGGCAGGCTGCGGCTCCTCCTCCTTTGCGGGGTCGACACTTCTTTCAGCTCGATGAACGTGTTGCTAACTCGGACTTCCAGAGTCACCTGCCTGTCCTCCCAACAATCCTGGTTTGCTGTTGTTGTGCGAGGTATCGATGCAAGCAAGGCTTCCTCGTTGGGCGACAGGTTCCGCGGGCAATCTTCTGGGAGCTTGGGCCTCTCCCAGCAGCAACAGAAGGAGGCTTGCGTTCCGCCCATGGCGCTTCCGCCCCCAAATTCTAATTTGGTCGGCTTCACCACGGCTACGGCAGAGTCAGAGAAGCGAAGATCATTTGGAAGAAAGAACTCTTTATGTTTTATTGACAGCCTTGGCTTGCAATGCTTGCGAAGACCTGGTGGGGAGGGATTTTCTGAAGATGTGCATGCAAGGCACTGGGGTGCAAAGCAGAAGCGGCTTTTGCCCGTCGAAGACGTCCGTCGTCAGCTTCTCATGTTCCTGGAAACAATCTGCTCAGAGGCACACTCGTGGAAGGAAGTGAGCGCTTCTCGCAGGCTTTGCCAAGGGGCAGCCTACCCGGCATCACGGCCCAGCTGAACTCGCAACCCTCAAACTTGAAAGCAAAAACGTCTTCTGCATCTATGCAAGTTCATGGGCAGAGATACAGAGGATTAAACAATCAATAACTATATGTATATATATATATATGTTTCTATAGATATATATATATATATACATATCTATACATATCTATACATACAGAGAGAGAGATGTATTTAAAGTATACATATATATATATATATGTATATATATATATATATCCCCCGTTTTGTATATATACATGTATTGTTGCTATGTTTTGTATGTTTTTCTATATATATTTCTGTGTCCTTCAACCGGAAGAAAGCCCGTCTCCGGGCCTGCATGAGGCGCTGCTCTACATCTGCCCAGGTCACCTGGAAGCCATGTGCCACAGCTCGCTACAGGTTCGCGGTGTTGGGCAGGCTTGGAAGTTCAGGTCATAGGGATTCAAACTTAATGGCCTCGGATACTCAGGGCTGAGTTTGTCAACCCCACCCCCTACACCACTACAGTATTACTGTTCACGATTGTTAGTAGTAGGCTTCGTCGTGATATTGTTGGAGGATGGAACGCTGGTGGTTTAGGGGCTGGGTGTTTAGGCCTTCTTTCTGGACCACTGGAGGTCTTTCCAGGAGTGTTGAGGTGTTGAGTTCTTTTTTGAGCAGTGGGGTCTCGAGCGTGTCGAGGCTTGCTCTATCCGCTGTCCTCACGAAATTTGTCCATCAAAGTCCAGTTCCCAGTTCCCTGAAACCTGGAACCCCTAAACCCCAAAATCTGAATTTCTCACATCATGATTCCTGCTGCTTGCATGCTCAAGTGAGCTCAACAGCGTGCTGTGGGCTTGCCACTTGGGCACAGGGCCCACCTCCCCAGCTGGAACGCCCCGGCTCTCCGCCAGCTCTTCGCGGAGACGCCACCGCAGCCGCGCCTTCAAGGAAGACCACTTGGAGGTTCATGGTACTTATTAACCAAAATATAACTGTACTTATAAGCCACTTATAAGCCACTTATAAGCCCCTTATGTGCCCCAATATGGTTATACGTACAGTTATCAGTACAGCTATACTTGGCTAGTAAGTACCATGAGGGGAAAAGCCCACATCGGGCACAGGGGCCTGCTGCGTGTCGGTGGTGACGGCCAGTTCAAAGGTGCACCAGGACCTCTCCGGTTCTTCTTTCAGGGGTCTTCGAGGAGGTCTTGGGTGCTGCTTCTGAGTAAAGGCCTGCTCAGAGAGTCGGCCGCAAAGTCCAGGAACAGAGCCGTCTCCTGCTCTGGCGCAGGAAGCGGAGCCAAACAAAGAGCTGCTGGGAGGCCCCCCGGTGCTTATGTCAGGAAGCCCCCGTCCGCCTTGGCCTCCCCGAAGCCTCTGAAGAAGGGGGAGCTGAGAAGCCGCGTCCCCAGCACAACCTGGCCCACAAGGCTCGGAAAGGATCGAGCATACCGAAAGGTCCAAAAGCGTGGGTGAGTGTGACGGTATGTGTCCTATGCCATAGGGAGCGCTCTCCAAGTTTTTGCACTTCTGCATTTCGTGATCGGCTGATAGGCTCACGGAGGCCTCAAACTGGTTGTTGGCAAAGGTGCAGATCCAGACCGCGTGTCGAACCTTTGCAGGAGGAGTCTCAGGTCAAGAGATAAGAGATATCAAGAGGCTCTCGGAAGGTCAGGGGACTGTCAGGCCACGTTCCATTTCAAGGTTGAACACCGTCGACATGAAGTCGCGAAAGAACTCCTCAAGGGAGTACAGGACTCTAACATCACTAGAAAACTGGGAACCGAGACTTTCATGAGTCCTTCCAGGAGTGGGAGATGAAGGTGTGCGGGCGCTGCGGCCCGCTGGCCACCAGCTCCACCCAGCTGCAGTCTGCAACTCCCAGCGAGCGGATGACCTACACTTAGGGTTTTAGGGCTTAGGGGTTCTTGGAGGAGCAACTCTGAAAACTGCTCCGGCTGCGTTCCGATTTAGTCATGCCACGGGCTTGACCACCTCGTTGCAGATCTCGTACATGGCAATCCTTACACCGTGCTTGTGGCAATGCCATGCAATTTAAGTACACGCTTTATCACGCTTTGTCCTCTGTCATTGCCAGGAGTCTGCGTCCATTTAATCCGCTCGCCCAACGGGCCCCGGGAGGCCTTCGTGTAGCGCAGGGCCCCAGTTTTGCAAAGGCGCCTCACACAGGGAATGTGTAATTCGATCGCGGCGCGCGCTGGGACTCGCTGTACAAGCCCTCAGACCTGTGAAGTTCCTGGCTCGTAGCCAGTGTGTGCCACAGCATGATTCAGTCCCGCGATCCGCGCTGAGCCTCAGATAATCGGCAAGCTCGCGCAGCTGGCCGACGCTGATGCCACGGAGGCCGACGTCATCGATTGCCGTCCGCCGGACTGGCACTGGCCATGGCACCACCATTGCAGTGGACCAAAAAAACAAGAGCCAGCTTAAATGAGTATTGACATTTGAAAACACTCGAGTTTGAAGGGTACATCCACAACTCCGCATTGCAGACATTGCATTCCACGTACACAGCTCAGGCGGCCATTGCGGGCCTAGTCTGGGGCAAGTCTTTCTGCACCATCGCAAAGCATCAGGAGATCAATGCTCTGGCTGACAGCTTCATGGGCCACAAAAACACACTTTTTGCGCGAACAATTGAAGCACCCGCCGAAGGGCTCTTTATGCAAAGACATCACAGACTGCCGAAGCTGCCTGCTCTTCCGAATGCGTCCGAGTCAGACACTGCTTCCCGCCGTGATGCGGTGGCCACGGTCAGCCAGTCAAGGACACGAAACGCGAACTGGCGACGACGGCATGGCCCGGCACAGGTTTGGAGATCCGAATACCCGAACGACGAGAAGTCCTCGGCGACCGTCTGCAGCACATGCGAGTGCCGTGGTGCTGGCCTGTGCACAATGGCATTGCGCACCTTTCACCTGCAAGCACACGTTCGCCATTTCAGACTCCCAGTACTTCACGCATGAATCTGCACTCCGCCACCACCACCGGATATGTGAGATAAGGCTCGAAAGGATGACCCTGGGGTTGCGACTCCTCACGTTCTCGATGTCGGCCTTTTGGAGCATCCTCCGGGTTCGTAGCCACTTGGCTCGCCTGACCTGCTGCCGCCTCTGCCGTGTCGACCCACGCGCGGCAACATCAAAACAGGAAGCCACGGAAGCTGATGCTTGGGACGACGAGCCGGTGAATGTCGAAGTACGAGTTAGCAACACGTTCAAATGAACGTATTGGTAACTCCTAATTCAAAAATCACCTGCTCGTCCTCCCAAGCCTCAGCTGCCGTGTCTCCCTGTTCTGCTGTTGCCGCGCGAGGCACTGGGGTGCAAAGAAGAAGCGGCTTTTGCCCTTCGAAGACGTCCGTCGTCAGCTTCTCATGTTCCTGGAAACAATCTTCTCAAAGCTACACTTGTGGAAGGAAGTGAGTGCTTCTTGCAGGCTTTGCATGGCTTTGCCAAGGGACAGCTTACCCGGCATCACGGCCCAGCTGAACTCGCAACCCTCAAAATTGAAAATTTAAAAAAGTCTTCTGCACCTATAAAAGTTCATGGGTGGAGATACATAGGAGTAAACAAGAAAGCCCGTCTCAGGGCCTGCATGGGGCGCTGCTCCACATCTGGTTATGGTCACCTGGAAGCCATGTGCCACAGCTCGCTACAGGTCGTCTGGGGTTCGTGGTCTTGGGCAGGTTTGGGAGTTCAGGTCATAGGGATTCAAACTTCATGGCCTTCAGGGGCTTTCGGATTTTCAGGGCTGAGGTTTCCAGCCCCACCCCCTACACCACTAGTACTATTCACTATTGTTAACAGTAGTCTTCGTCATGACACCCTTAGACATGGACGCTGGGGATTTCGAGGTTGCGGGTTGAGGCGGGTTGAGGCCTTCTTTCTGGAGGTCTTAGCAGGCCTGTTGAGGCGTTGAGTTCCCTCTTTGAGCGGTGGGGTCTCGTGTCTAGGCTTGCTCTCTTCGTTTCTCAACACGAAATGCTTCCATCAAGGTCCAGTCCCCTGAACCCTGAACCCCTAAACCCAAAATCTGAATTCTTCACATCATGATGCTTGCAGGTTCAGGTCTAACAGCGTGCTGTGGCCTTGCCGCTGCACTTGGGCACGGGGCATCAAAACCCGTTCAAGTCCCTCAAAAGCAGGCCTCCCCAGCTGGAACGCCCCTGGTCTCCCGCGCCTTCAACTCAAAGAAGACAAGGGGAACGGCACACAAAGGGGGGAGTACAAACGACATGCAGGATGCCCAGGGCCTGCTGCGTGGTGGCTCGACTTACATACATGTTCTCGTGCACTCTGTTACATGTGGCACTGTACAAACTCTCAGACCTGTGAAGTTCATGGGAAGGTTTGGGGAGTGGGCTGGTAGCGCGCAGCTGGCCGACGCTGATGCCACGGAGGCCGACGTCATCGATTGCCGTCCGCCGGACTGGCACTGGCCTTGGCACCACCATTGCAGTGGACCAGAAAAACAAGAGCCAGCGTAAATGACTAGTGACCTTTGAAAACACTTGAGTTCGAAGGGTACATCATAAACTTCGCATTGAAGAAACTAATATTGCTCAAACAAATAAGGCTTAAAGGATCATCTTTCAGACGCATCCCACAGCATTCCACGTACACAGCTCAGGCGGCCATTGCCGGCCATAGTGTGGAGCAAGCCTTTCTGCACCATCGAAAAGCATTAGGAGATCAAAGCTCTGGCTGACAGCGTCATGGGCCACAAAAGCACACTTTTTGCACGAACAATTCAAGCACCCGCCGAAGGGCTGTTTAAGCAAAGACGTCACAGACTGCCGAAGCTGCCTGTTCTTCCGAATGCGTCCGAGTCAGACACTGCTTCCCGCCGTGATGCGCTGTTCATGGAATGGCCACGGACACGGAGACGCAAACACGTGACCAGCATCGCCCGGCACAGGTTTAGAGGCCGTCTGCAGCACATGCGAGTGCCGTGGGGTCGGCCTGCGCAGAATGACATTGCGCACCTTTCGCCTGCAAGCACTCGCAGGGATACCAGCTTCCTCGAGATTCCTCCACTGTGGGTACGGGAAAGCCCTTTGTTCATGCACCTCTGAGGGCAACGTGTGCAGATTGTATGCGAGTCCTCGATGGGGCGCCATCTCATGGAATCATCCATGAAGGAAAGACCAGGGACGGACCGCTTCTTGGATGGGCGTGCGCCAGCCGATGGAATGGAGCAGTCCAACGTGACTTCGCCCTCCTCGCTACGCATCCGCGTGTAGCGGAAGGGCGTCGTTCCACGAGGGTCGGCAAAAACCGTCGGGGTGCGGTCCGCAACCAAGTCGCCCCCCTGCATCCGCATAGAAGGCGCCGCTGAGGAGAGCCAAGGGATGGTCGTGAAATGCCAAGCACATCGAAGTCTTCGTGGTAGCCTTCTGATTCGGAGGGGTCACTGAAAGCCCAGATTGAGAGCTCAAGCTCGCATTGGGGGATGAAAGCTTCACCAGCCTCTTCAGCTCCTGGAAGTCTCTGGAATCCCTGTAGAGCTCCGGCCACACATCTGGGCCATCCTCCTCTTGCTCGGCATCATGGGTGAGCTGCCAGTTGAAGAACGCGTTGTTGACATCATCTTGGCGGCTGTTCTTCGCGAAGCCTTTTCCCCGAAACTGCTGGTACTTCTGGAGCCTCACTGTCTCATAAACCACGATGCTGAAATCTGATGGTAAAGGTTGAAACAACCCTTCCCATTCAACCCTGTTCTTGCGGGATCTTCCGGGTCTCCCTTTCGCGCGTGGAGTCCTGAGTTTAAAGGATTGCTACCCAGTGTTAACTTAACACGTACTTGATATGCCTGCCAGACATGGGCATATGTTGGCATCATCGAAAGCCTTGCCAATTCTAGCCCAGGACACGACATCCCTGTCATCCCCATAGATCCTCCTCGGAATCGCTCTCTTCCAGAGAGGGCATCACGTCCAGATCCCGGCATGCGGGAACCTGTCCAGGCCACCCTTCAGCTGGTCTGTGGTCACATGCCGCCAGGCGCCAGCTGTCGTTCCAGAGCTGGCAGCACTGGCGACACGTGTTCCTACAGAAGTGGGGCCTCGCTGGCACCTTGCGCCATGTCAGCCTCCCACGTACTTCGCGCATGAACGCGCGCTCCGCCACCACCATCGGATATGTCAGGAACGGCTCGAACGGATGATCCAGGGGTGGTGGCTCCTCACGTTCTTCATGTCGGCCTTGTGGAGCATCCTCTGGGTGACCTGCTGGCGCCTCTGCCGCCTCTGCCGCCTCTGCCGCCTTGCAGGGCTTCAGCTCCTTTGGCAGGCTGCGGCTCCTCCTCCTTTGCGGGGTCGACACTTCTTTCAGCTCGATGAACGTGTTGCGAACTCCTACTTCCAGAGTCACCTGCCTGTCCTCCGAACAATCCTGGTTTGCTGTTGTTGTGCGAGGTATCGATGCAAGCAAGGCTTCCTCGCTGGGCGACAGGTTCGGAGAGTAATCTTCTGGGAGCTTGGGCCTCTCCCAGCAGCAACAGAAGGAGGCCTGCGTTCCCCCCATGGCGCTTCCGCCCCCAAGTTCAAATCTGGTCGGCTTCACCACGGCTGCGGCAGAGTCAGAGAAGCGAAGATCATTTGGAAGAAAGAACTCTTTATGTTTTATTGACAGCCTTGGCTTGCAATGCTTGCGAAGACCTGGTGGGGAGGGCTTTTCTGAAGAATGTTCCTGGAAACAATCTTCTCAGAACTACACGTGTGGAAGGAAGTGAGTGCTTCTCGCAGGCTTTGCCAAGGGACATCTTACCCGGCATCACGGCCCAGCTGAACTCGCAACCCTCAAACTGGGCCTGCATGAGGCGCTGCTCTACATCTGCGCAGGTCACCTGGAAGCCGTCGGCCAAGGGGTTTTGGATCTAGGGTTCGCGGTGTTGGGCAGGTTTGGGAGTCTAGGTCATAGGGATTCAAACTTACTGGCCTTCAGGGGCTTTCGGATTTTCAGCCCTGAGGTTTCAGGTTGGTGGTTTTTCCAGGAGTACCTGTTGGACGTTGATTTCCCTTTTTGAGCGTTGGGGTCTCGAGTCGAGGCTTGCTCTCTTCGTTTTTCAACACGAAATGCTTCCATCAAGATCCAGTTCCCTGAAACCTGGGACGCCTGAACCCAAAATCTGAATTCTTCACAACATGATGGTTCATGTTGCTTGCATGTTCAAGATTGTTCAAGTGAGTGTACCAGCGTGCTGTGGGCTTGCCGCTGCACTTGGGCACAGGGCATCCAAACCCATTCAAATCCCTCAAGAGCAGGGCCCAGCTGGAACGCCCCTGGTCTCCGCGGCTTCAACTCAAAGAAGACAAGGGGAACAGCCCACAAAGGGCACACAGAGGGGGGAGTACAAACGACATGCAGGATGCCCAGGACCTGCTGCGTGTCGGTAATAAACTGGACTTGCAATGGCTTACATGTTCTACAATCTGTTACGTTTTTGGCACTGTACAGGCCCTCAGACCTGTGAAGTTCATGGGAAGGTTTGGGGAGTGGGCTGGCAGCAAGTGTGTGCCGCAGCATGAAATTCAGTCCCAGCGATCCGCGCTGAGCCTCAGGTAATCGGCAAGCTCGCGCAGCTGGCCGACGCCGATGCCACGGAGGCCGACGTCATCGATTGCCGTTCGCCGGACTGGCACTGGCCTTGGCACCACCATTGCAGTGGACCAAAATAACAAGAGACAGCGTCAATGATTAGTGACCTTTGAAAACACTTACATCAAAATCTCCGCCTGGAAGAAATTCATGTTTCTCAAACAAATACGGCTTAAAGGATCATCTTTCAAACTCCTGCCATTGCGGGCCTAGTTTGAGGCAAGTCTTTCTGCACCATCGCAAAGCATGAGGAGATCAATGCTCTGGCTGACAGCGTCATGGGCCACAAAAACACACTTTTTGCAAGCACAGACATCACAGACTGCCGAAGCTGCCTGCTCTTCCGAATGCGTCCGAGTCAGACGCTGCTACCCGCCGTGATGCGCTGTTCATGGAAAGGCCACGGTCACCCAGCCAAGGGCACGGAGATGCAAACTCGTGACGACAGCATGGCCCGGCACAGGTTTGGAGATCTCAATACCCGAACTACGAGAAGTCCTCGGCGACCGTCTGCTGCACATGTGAATGCAGCGGTGCTGGCCTGTGCAGAATGCATTGCGCACCTTTCGCCTGCAAGCACTCGCAGGGATACGGGAAAGCCCTTTGTTCGTGCACCTCAGAGCGTCGTCTTCGCCCAGCTTGCAAGCGTTGTCCACGGGCAATGTGTGCAGATTGTAGGCGAACACCACGCGATCCTTGGGTCCTCGCCTGCCAGGAAGGAAAGACCATGGACAGACCGCTTCTTGGATGGGCGTACGCCAGAGGATGGAATGGAGCAGTGGGCTCCAGTGTGACTTCACCCTCTTCGCTGCTACGCATCCGCGTGTAGCGGAAGGGCGTCGTTCCACGGGTCGGCAAAAGCCGTCGGGGCGCGGTCCGAAACCAAGTTCGTCGTGACATGCCAAGCACATCGAAGTCCTCGTCGTCTCCTCATTCGAAGCCCAGATTGAGAGCTCAAGCTGTGCAAGGTCTGCTTCGGACAGAGTTGCGGAGTGGATCTGCTGGAGGTGCTCCAGGGGTGAAAGCTTCACCAGCCTCTTCTTCTCCTGGAAGTCTCTGGAATCCCTGTAGAGCTGCGGCCACACATCTGGGCGGCCATCCTCCTCTTGCTCGGCATCATGGGTGAGCTGCCAGTTGAAGAACGCGCTGTTGACATCATCTGGGCGGCTCTTCTTTGCGAAGCCTTTTCCCCGAAACTGCTGGTACTTGTGGAGCCTCACTGTCTCATAAACCACGATGCTGAAATCTGATGGTAAAGGTTGAAACAACCCTTCCCATTCAACCCTGTTCTTGCGGGATCTTCCGGGTCTCCCTTTCGCGCGTGGAGTCCTGAGTTTAAAGGATTGCTACCCAGTGTTAACTTAACACGTACTTGATATGCCTGCCAGACATGGGCATATGTTGGCATCATCGAAAGCCTTGCCAATTCTAGCCCAGGACACGACATCCCTGTCATCCCCATAGATCCTCCTCCCAATCGCTCTCTTCCAGAGAGGGCATCACGTCCAGATCCCGGCATGCGGGAACCTGTCCAGGCAACCCTTCAGCTGGTCTGTGGTCACATGCCGCCAGGCGCCAGCTGTCATTCGAGAGCTGGCAGCACTGGTGACACGTGTTCCTACAGAAGTGGGGCCTCGCTGGCACCTTGCGCCATGTCAGCCTCCCACGTACTTCGCGCATGAACGCGCGCTCCGCCACCACCATCGGATATGTCAGGAACGGCTCGAACGGATGATCCAGGGGTGGTGGCTCCTCACGTTCTTCATGTCGGCCTTGTGGAGCATCCTCTGGGTGACCTGCTGGCGCCTCTGCCGCCTCTGCCGCCTCTGCCGCCTTGCAGGGCTTCAGCTCCTTTGGCAGGCTGCGGCTCCTCCTCCTTTGCGGGGTCGACACTTCTTTCAGCTCGATGAACGTGTTGCGAACTCCTACTTCCAGAGTCACCTGCCTGTCCTCCCAACAATCCTGGTTTGCTGTTGTTGTGCGAGGTATCGATGCAAGCAAGGCTTCCTCGCTGGGCGACAGGTTCCGCGGGCAACCTTCTGGGAGCTTGGGCCTCTCCCAGCAGCAACAGAAAGATGCCTGCGTTCCGCCCATGGCGCTTCCGCCCCCAAATTCAAATTTGGTCGGCTTCACCACGGCTACGGCAGAGTCAGAGAAGCGAAGATCAGTTGGAAGAAAGAACTCTTTATGTTTTATTGACAGCCTTGGCTTGCAATGCTTGCGAAGACCTGGTGGGGAGGGATTTTCTGAAGATGTGCATGCAAGGCGCTGGGGTGCAACGCAGAAGCGGCTTTTGCCCGTCGAAGACGTCCGTCGTCAGCTTCTCATGTTCCTGGAAACAATCTGCTCAGAGCTACACTTGTGGAAGGAAGTGAGTGCTTCTCGCAGGCTTTGCCAAGGGACAGCTTACCCGGCATCACGGCCCAGCTGAACTCGCAACCCTCAAACTTGAAAATCGAAAAAGCTTTCTGCATCTGTCAAAGTTCATGGGCAGAGATACATAGGATTAAACTAATGATTAAACAAGAAAGCCCGTCTCAGGGCCTGCATGAGGCACTGCTCTACGTCTGCCAAGGTCACCTGGAAGCCATGTGCCACAGCTCGCTACAGGTCGTCTGGGGTTCGTGGTCTTGGGCAGGTTTGGGAGTTCAGGTCATAGGGAGTCAAACTTAATGGCCTTCCGGGGCTTTCGGATGTTCAGGGCTGAGGTTCCAGCCCCACCCCCTACACCACTATTACTATTCACTATTGTTTATAGTAGTCTTCGTCGTGACATCGTTAGCGATGGACGCTGCGGGTTTTGAGTTTGCGGGTTTAGGCCTTCTTTCTGGAGGTCTTTCCAGGCCTGTTGAGGCGTTGAGTTTCCTCTTTGAGCGGTGGGGTCTCGAGTCGAGGCTTGCTCTCTTCGTTTTTCAACACGAAATGCTTCCATCAAGGTCCAGTTCCGCTGAAACCTGAACCCCTAAACCCAAAATCTGAATTCTTCACATCATGATGATTCATGTTGCTTGCATGTTCAGGCATCAAAACCCGTTCAAGTCCCAGCAGGCCTCCCCAGCTGGAACGCCCCTGGTCTCCGCGCCTTCAACTCAAAGAAGACAAGGGGAACAGCCCACAAAGGGCACACAGAGGGGGGAGTACAAACGACATGCAGGATGCCCAGGACCTGCTGCGTGGTGGTGGCTAGACTTACATACATGTTCTCGTACAATCTGTTACGTTTTTGGCACTGTACAGGCCCTCAGACCTGTGAAGTTCCTGGGAAGGTTTGGGGAGTGGGCTCGTAGCCAGTGTGTGCCACAGCATGATTCAGTCCCTCGATCCGCGCTGAGCCTCAGGTAATCGGCAAGCTCGCGCTGCCACGGAGACCGACGTCATCGATTGCCGTCCGCCGGACTGGCACTGGCCATGGCACCACCATTGCAGTGGACAAAAAACAAGAGCCAGCCTAAATGATGATTGACATTTGAAAGCACTCGAGTTTGAAGGGCACATCCACAACTCCACATTGAAGACATTAATATTTCTCAAAACAATAAGGGATCATCTTTCAGACTCCTCCCATAGCATTCCACACAGCTCAGGCGGCCGTTGCGGGCCTAGTCTTGGGGCAAGTCTTTCTGCACCATTGCAAAGCATGAGGAGATCAATGCTCTGGCTGACAGCGTCATGGGCCACAAAAGCACACTTTTTGCACGAACAATTGAAGCACCCGCCGAAGGGCCTTTAAGCAAAGACATCACAGACTGCCGAAGCTGCCTGCTCTTCCGAATGCGTCCGAGTCAGACACTGCTTCCCGCCGTGATTCGCTGTTCACGGAATGGCCACGGTCAGCCAGCCAAAGGCGCGGAAACGCAAACTCGTGACGACGGCATGGCCCGGCACAGGCTTCGAGCTCTGAAAATCCGAACGGCGAGAAGTCCTCGGCGACCGTCTGCTGCACATGTGAGTGCCGTGGCGCTGGCCTGCAGGATGGCGTTGCGCACCTTTCGCCTGCAAGCACTCACAGGGATACCGGCTTCCTCGAGATTCCTCCACAGTGGGTACGGGAAAGCCCTGTGTTCATGCGCCTCAGAGCGTCGTCTTCGCCCAGCTTGCAAGTGTTGTGCCGGGCAATGTGTGCAGATTGTAGGCGAACACCACGCGATCCTTGGGTCCTCGATGTGGCGCCACCCCGTGGACCAGCCAGGAAGGAAAGACCAGGGATAGACCGCTTCTTGGATGCGCGTACGCCAGCCGATGGAATGGAGCTGTGGGCTCCAGTGTGACTTCACCCTCTTCGCTACGCATCCGCGTGTAGCGGAAGGGTGTCGTTCCACGAGGGTCGGCAAAAACCGTCGGGGTGCGGTCCGCAACCAAGTCGCCTCCTGCATCCGCATAGAAGACACCGCTGAGGAGAGCCAAGGGATGGTCGTGAAATGCCAAGCCCATCGAGGTCTTCGTGGTCGTGTCCTCATTCGGAGGGGTCACGGAAGCCCAGATTGAGAGCTCAAGCTGTGCGAGGTCTGCTTCGGACAGAGTTGCGGAGTGGATCTGCTGGAGGTACTCCAGGGATGAAAGCTTCACCAGCCTCTTCAGCTCCTGGAAGTCTCTGGAATCCCTGTAGAGCTCCGGCCACACATCTGGGCCATCCTCCTCTTGCTCGGCATCATGGGTGAGCTGCCAGTTGAAGAACGCGTTGTTGACATCATCTTGGCGGCTGTTCTTCGCGAAGCCTTTTCCCCGAAACTGCTGGTACTTCTGAAGCCTCACTGTCTCAAAAACCCCGGTCTTTGAAATCTGATAGCAAAGGTTGAAGCAACTACCCTTTACATTCAACCCCGTTCTCTTCGCGCGTGGAGTCCTGAGTTTGAAGGATTGCTACCCATTTTTAACACGTACCTGATATGCCTGCCAGACATTGGCATATGCTGGCATCATAGTTATGCTTTGCCAATCTGGGCAGCACGATGGTGGTGAGTTGATGGCATGCCACACAGTTGTCAGCCTCTCGCGAAGAGGTGAACGCATGTCCGATCTCCTGCCAGCTAGACGAAACTTGTTCTACCTTCCAAGTAGTTACCACACCCGTTAACTTGACAGCAGACACAACCACAAGTGGCTACCCAGGCTCCCGTGCCATGATGTATGTGGGGAAGAGCTGCCAGATGCTTCCGGAGCCACGTACACTCTGCTGCAGCTGACCAACTTCCAGCGGATTGTAGGTGTTCGTCCGTCCCCCCTGATGACCATCTGGGCCTGTCGCAGGGTTAACAATGCCAAGCTGCAAACTCAACAGAACCAAGGAATCTCAGGGCTACAATGTGATGCAAAAATCTCGGCTGTTACAAGCGCATGCCGCGGCACCTGCAGGCCGCCACAAAGCCTTGGCAGGATCCTGGGAATATGTTAGCCAGGTGCGCTGAAATCGCTGCAAGTTCTCCATGCTGTTGCCCTTGCTTTTGTTCAGCTGCTGTAAAGCGTCTTGAACCCAATCCATGCCGTCTGGCGACACTTCCAGACGACGGAGGCTTTCGGCCAGGTTGCAGTGCGTCTCGTGCGTCTCTTTGCCCTTGTCCCTACAAGCGAGGCCGGCCGCGGCACTGGCTTGGGAGGCGAAGTCCTCGTGCTCCAATGGTGTACCATGGCTGGCATGGGCCAAGCGGGCCAGCAGGATCGCAGCATTCAGAAAGGCCTCCTTCAGCTCGGAGTTGCGGGAGGCATCGGCCGCCAAAGAGAGACCCCCAACTACCTGGTTGATGGTCTCATAGAGCAGATGATAGAGCTGGACCGGATCGGGTTGCGCTGTGTAGGACCCTTGAGCAGCATTCAGCGTTTCATGAGCCCTGCTGAAATAAGCTGGCCACCGGCGCTGCGCTTCCTGGCGCAAGAACGCTTGCTGCCCGGCCGCTTCACTGGCCGGGCCGCCGGCCTCCCAAGAGGCCTCCCGGCCACTCTGCTTCGCGTTGCTGGCGCTGCTGGCGCTGCTGGCGCTTGCGCTGTTCGCGTTGCGCGCCGCGGCGGCGGCAACCACGGCCGCCACCTCCGCAGAGAGCTCGGGCTCGGTCGGCCTGGGGTCGGGGCAGCAGCGCTGGCGGGTGAAGAAGGCATCCCAGCAGTTGGCAACCGGCGGGTCCCTGCAGCAGATTTCCGCAGTGTAGCCCTCCTGCCAGCAGCCGGAAGGCACGGCTTGCACGGCTGAAGGCGCAGGCACCTGAGCGGCTCTTCCTTGGATTCCGTGCTCGTCCAAGGCCACAGTGTCTGCGAAGGCTGATGCAGCCGTGGCAGCGGCTGCGATCGCTGCGCTGGCTTCGACTGCAGGCAGTGGGAGGGTGTCAGGCAGGGATGGAGTCGCTGCGGGCGTGGGCCGTGCACGCTGGGGCTTGGCTGCATCATCCGAGAACCCAGCCACCGGCACGGGATCAAGTGCCAGGACTCGTGCGCTTGCAGCGTGCTCATCGGCAGCTGCGCTGACCGCCGCTGCCAGATATGAAGGCGGATGTTTGGGCACCTCCTGCGCAACGACGCTGCTGAGCATGGTGAAGAACAGAAGCCATGAGAGCCACATTCCCCCAGGGTATCCATCCTCCCAGAAAGGGCACCCCCTAGAACAAAGCGCGCCAGCTCACCGCCGGTCGCCGCTTCTTTCAGAGCCAAGGCCACGGAGGCAGTGGAGTCTCCCCCTACTCAAGCCCGTACAGAGCCAGCAACGACGTCCCCGAACTCCTACTCATGTTATGTCCTAGGTCGCTGTCTGAAGGACGCCCTCTTGAGGATCTGAGTTCAGGTCTGAGAGAACTGCTGCAGCGCTGGGCGTCCCGGCACGTCTGGGGCAAGCTCTGGGGCGAAGCGCCTCGAAGAGCATCGGCCACTTTAAGCACCACAAGGCCCCCAACCCGAACCAAAACCGTGGGAATCTTCGTAGAGCCGGCTCCCGTGGACAACGATATGGGGCACTTGCATCACCCAGAAGGAGCCAAAAGGAACCAGAGCCCCACGCCTGGCCATGCCTTGAGCTGCGGAATCGGCTTGGCTCCTCTCAGCGAAAAGACGAGTTGAGGCCAAATGGTACATGTGGTCTACATGATGGCCGCTCAAATTCGGGGCCCAGTCCAGGTACATGTAGAAACGATCCTCAAGGGAACCTGATCGCCAAGCAGGCCAAGCAGACGCTTGGACAGTCGCTTGAGCAGCCAACGTCACAGCTGGTACTGAAACCCGGCTGCAGCCAGGTCACCGTGCATGGCATCCAGCAATTCGAAGAGCGCGCTCTAGCGTGGTGGAACATGCTGGACCCGCCTGAACATGCTACTACGACCATGCCTATTACTACTCTTTTCTTGATGGTCTAATGCTGCTAGTCTTACCCCGACTATACTTGAGACCATGTCCAGGCAGCCTGCGCGGCGACCAAAGTAGCCTTTCAGGCAGGCCACCGCTCTTCCGTCAATTCGTCTCTCGGTGCTTTGTTCTCAGAGGTCCGCTGCTTTGTCAGCAAACAACTTTGCACGTACGAATCAACCATTGGGCAACCGTGCCGTACTAAACTTTGGCCGAGAGTGATGTGGGCACCCTATGCTAGCGTCATCCGCACTTTGTGCGGGAGTAGCCGCAGAATTCCATTGCCTGGAGCCACCACAAGGTCGGCGATTTCTGCAGCACGACTACGATCATGTAGAATACTTGAGCACTATTGAGCACTATTGAGCACTGCCTGAGCTGTAGGACGCTGCCAAGGTTTATGGAGTCGACGGTTCATGGTCGCATGAAGCAAGGCGGGGGGAATACGACCTCGAGCTGCAGTTGGAGGTGAACGCGCGGGACACCTGAGACCGCGACGCGATCAACGTTGCGGTGCCAAGAGGAGCTCTACGCCATGCATTTTCAAGCGAACCCCACACATTAAGCACATGTCCCTATGTCCCTCGTTCGGGCATGACAAGCTACACAGGCTACACCAGTTACACAAGATACGCAAGTTAGCAGTCTCCGGGCCGCGCACCGTGGCTCGCTGGTTCCCCACAACGGAAAGCCCGCCCGCCGGAGGGCCTCACAGTCGTTTCAACCTCGAACTCCTTCAGCCTCGAATCCGCATTCAATACGTTAAGCCACATAACCTAACAGTAACACCCTTACATACCCCAACACCGCTCCTGCAGGGCTTGAGTCTCGGCACTTCAGCTGGCGCGGGGTCAAAAAGTAGGCTGTTTCCAGCACTGGAGAAAGCGAGAACCTGACACAACCGAATCGACTCCCAGATGGGGGGTGTACGAAAATAAAGGACCCCTAAAAAGTCCCCAAAGAATAGGATTCCCTTATACTATGGACCAGAAATCGGAAACTGCCAGATTTCCAAACTCACTCCCAGGGCTCCCGGAGCCTCGCTGGCCCCCGGCGCGGGGAATCGGGGGCCACCTCGGGCAACTCCCTTGATTTCAAGGGGGCTCGAGGGATGTTTGGGGCTCTCTCTTTCTTTACAACTCCCAAACCTTTCAGGATGTTTCAGATGCCCCGAGGGCCAACATTGGTGCTGTGGGATGTCGTTGAAAGTTGCACGCCTGGACTGGGGATTAGATGGATTAGCTGGGAGGGCAAGAAGTCGCTTCGTGCTCTCAGGCAAAAGAGGCTTCCAAAACTCCCTGCTGCAGCATGGAATGATCTGAGCAACAGCGCGCTGAGTTCAGCAGCTGAGCCGGCTCTTCCAAAACATCTGCTTCTTTCAGCTCTAAACCCAACAAGCCCCGCCACCCTGTGCAAACATAGACTCAGCACCGCTCGGAAGCCCGTACTGCCCACCCTCCATCAGCCTGCACCTTCTAGGAAAAGGCAAGCCAATGCTCAGAGTGCAGCATAGACCTCTCGGGACCCTGGGGCCCTAGAAACATCTTAGAACATCTTCAATCAGATCCCAACGACTTTGGAGCAACGCACGTGCTGGGGTCTCTGCTTCTTCGGCGGCCCTTCCTTATTGTGTGAGCCGCGAGAAGTAGCTCTGGGAATGTGGAGGAATAATTACATCATGGCGCAAGCTGGCCAGTTTTTCAGCCTTGACAATTCCTTGACTATTCCTGCTTTTACAAGGATGGGTTCTCTCGGGTTCTGCAGATGTCTATCGCGCTGCCAGAGCCCCAGAAAGTTGTGCAGATCTGACAACCGCACCTCGTCCAAAGAGAAGGAGTCGACGGTAACCGTCTTTGGTAAGGCCTTGTGCTCAGCTCCAGGTAAAGTTGGGACAGTCCCCAAGTAAGATGCTTGTTGGGTCTAACGGTCTAAAGAGTCTGCCAGCCACCTGAGCACAGTCCGCAACCCTGGCCGAGATGAAGACATGGATGGTCTTCGAGCGCTCCATCTGTCAGATTGTGTCTTCAGGCTCCAGAGCTGTCTAACCGCATAGTCTGGCCGTACACTCAGCTCTGTCATCTGTTTTGTCAGCAATGCTAAGGCTGCTAAGCCCTGTTTGTGGAAAACCCGAAACCTTGATGCAACTGCCTGCGAAGATCTGACAACATCCCAGCCTCCGGCAGCAGTGTGGGCAAAACCACCATGCGCCTAGCCATGGACCGCGACAGTCACTGTTCGCAAGTGAACATGAACAAAACAGTCCTGGCAAGAGAACGATAAACACCACAGCAATAAGCGTAATAATAGCAATACAAAGCGACACATAGCAGTAAATGTCAACACATATACATACATTGCAAAAACCCAATTTTAGCAACCATAACACACATGGAATATCAAACAAGCTAACACAGGAGCCCGCACGAGACCTCCCGCCCCCCGCCGAGACAATGGTGTATGCGAGTGTCCGGCCGTCTGCGCTGACAAGCTGGAATCAGAGCATCGTGGAATCCATGAGCACCGGGCGCTTGGACCCACACTCGAGATCTTGCTTCTCTGGATGCAGTTGTTCACCAGACAACCATGCACGACCGTTACAGACCTACGTTATAGATACTATCTCTATCAATGCTCGCCTTCAATCTCTGTAGTGACACTAGAGACGTTGCACATTGATTTAAAGAGCCTTGGTGTCGACCTACTTGCCATCCTGCGTCAAATGGCGTGGCGTGGAGGAACAAGCGTGCCAACATCACCCCACAGTAACCAGAATCTGCAGGCCCAATGCACTCCAATGGTTGTGCGCGCCCTCTGGCCCTGGCTCACAAGCTAATAAAGCCTGAAGCCAAATCACGGCACTGCAGCATCAGTATTTTGCAATCGCACTGAGATGTCCTGCTACGAGGAATCACCTTTGTCGGTCGGGCACCGAGCCACCAAGCTCCTCGTAAGCATAAGACAGCCCAGACTGACGAGGTGTTCCTCTGGTCAACAAAAACTCGAACAGCCATGTGTGTGCCGAGAGCCAACGCCACCATCCGATGTTTAGCCGTCCAGTCTCCGTTACACATCGTTATCTCATCAACCAGGCAGTGGCCCTTCGGTACGAAAAACCCACGGCAGGGATGCTCGTGACAGCAAGCAGGGTCAGCCATACATCTGGTACTCACACTGCTATATGTCCGCAACGGGTTCTGTATCTGCTGTGTGGCAAGAAACAATGCCCCGGGTCATCATGTCAGTGACTACAGCATAACCAAACACTATGTACTTGCCTATTCCCATGTCGTCGCGAAGAGGCTGGCTCCTGCTTCGGGCTTGTTCTGAACTAAACCGGCCCTGGATGACTCTACGAAATCTTGCAACACATCCCTGCTGAAGGTGGCAGGCCGGGAAGCGCGAATTGCTGCAATGACGATGCATGGCAGTTCCGAGGTGGCAGAACGCCCAACACATGTTCGCGAGATTCTCCGAGCAGAGAAAGATGCATCTGCTCCGAATGGGGGCAGCCATGTTGGAGGATCATTTGGGAACGAAGCCACGTCGTCCAAGCATTGCCCCTGATAAGATCAGAGACTTCGAATTAGAGAGGCGCTAAAGGGTTGGCTGGCCGGAGAGAACGACTTCCTGCCGAAACTAGACTCTGTATACTCTGTGCAAGCTTCTGTGGAAGCAACACGTTGTGCACTGCCAGTTCGCGGGGCACACTTCTTAGCCTTCGTTGTCTCAAATCAAAGAGTCAGTTCTCCGGCAATCAGCAGTCTGCAAGACTTTGCGCGTACACGCCCTGATCAGCTCAGCCGCATGGAAACGTCGCCATCGCCAATCTGCTTCCGCGCCGTCAGTCGCTTGCGCGGGGCTCCGACCTGCAGAGCCACAAGCACAGAACTCAGTTGAACTCAGTTGAAGAATGACTCTGTCGAACACAACGAAGGACTCGTCTTACTGTCTTGAAGTGATGGTTGACAGTCTTCTTGGATCCACGGCCTCAGCCGCTTGGCGAGCATTCTCCTGCCCACGATGTCATGAAGTGTGGTGGCGTCATGCTTTGGTCTAGGCATGCTTACTGTATAAACTCTTCATCTGCTAGGCCCTGTGCTCGCCTCGGCCATGACGACAGTCCTCTCACGGGCACACAGCTGCTCCTGCGCGGAATTCTGAACTTCCCGAGAACGGTCGAGTGACAGTAATCGTAGCAGCACATTCTGCCATGTATAGCTGTATAATGCTGTATAGCTGAAGCGGCAGCATAATGACAAAATCTCCTACAATGGGCCAGCTGTTCCACAGAATCCCGACCTGCCTCACGCTCGGTGAGCTGTCTGTCGCAGTCTGCCTCAGGCATCCCAGAGCGTGACCGGTGATTGCCAAGTAGCTTAGCCGCATGGCCTTGCAAAATCCCCCACAAACCTTCAAGCACTTTCTGAGACTCTGGTGGTCCCTCAACCCTGTGGGAGGAGGAGAAAAAAGAAAGTGAAACCCCACCTCGCGGCGGCGCAGCGCCTCGGCGCCCTGCAGCAGCGAGCGCTCGCGCTGCGCCAGGCGCTGCGCTTCCTCCGCCTCGCACTTTGGCAGGCGAAGTTTCATTGAGGGCATAAGGGGCTGATGGTGTGGCCTGGTGCTAAACAAGGACTCCACGTGCATGCGCTCCAAAGCGAAAGTACCCTCCACCATAAGCTGCCCAAGCCCAAGCAAACATAGCAAGCCCCCGCCCATGCTAAAGTGCTACTTATAATGCTTTGCACGATGCCTCGCTCGAGACCTGACGGCGCCAAAGACAAGCCGGAACCTCATGCCCTGAACGGCAGAGCCCATGTGTCCCTTATGAGTCCCTTTCTTACGTGCCTGTCTCTGGGCCCTCTCGTGCAGGGATGCCTGCGCAGAATGATGGAAAGTGATGGAAAGACTGCTGGCAATGCGGATCTTGAAGCTGCTTCTTTGTGCAACTTTGCTGAGTGACAGCTGCACAGCCCCGCGAATTCAGCAGACAGGGTCATGTGCAAAAAAACTGCACAAGATGCGGAGCACACGGAGCTGTCTCCCCGCCTCTCGCTCATCTAATTCTCTTTTGCGCTCCTCCTGGCCATCCGAGCTTCGGAACCAGTTCTTGCAAGCATCTTGTGGGGAGCGGTCAGAAGCAGATCGACCCCCTGCCTCCAGATCAGCATGCCTCACCAATGCTTTGAACGAAGAAAAAGCAACAATGCGATCCATGAGACAATTGGCGAGCAGTTGAGTCTGAAGTCTGCTTCTGGTTATTGCTGCTTCTTTGTGACATCCCGGTGACATCTGAACTTCCTGAAACCGTGGGACAAGGTGTCCCCAGGGACGCTGTTAAAACGACCCTGCAACGCACTGAGATCGCCTCGACCTTCGAAGGCCCTCGCGCAGTGCTCTCTCTCGGACAGTCACTTCTTCCTGCAAAGGTTGGGTTGCGTGTAGAGTGCAGAGGGTTTAGGGGGGTTTGAAGATGGCTTCACTAGAGTTTCGGGAGCTCAGGGCTCGGAGTGCAGTTTGCTTATTGCACGATTCTGCTCCCGGCTTGCGAGCTCGGCGTCACTTGCAGCTTTTATGAACAATCTGTGCCAAGGCCATCTTGAGTTGAGAAAGGCATCTCGAGGAAAAAGGACTCGCAACCGACAACGTGTTTGTCGAACATCGAACCTGAATAGCCCGGGATAGACAGATTCCCCCAAATCTGTGCATCGTTCCACGTTGAAGTTTCCGTGCGCGTGCCTCGCGGGCTGCCACAGCCGTCTCGCGCTCTAAGAGACCTTGAGGCCGCAGAACTACCCAAGAAAGCACAAACCCTGTCGTCCCCAAGCCTTGCTCGCGTGCGCCAGCCAGCTGCAATCGCTCGGCCAAAGCCTTCACTGCCATCGTTCTGCAGTTCGTATACAGCGAGCCTACTGGAATCCAGAACGAAGTCTGAGTCTAAGATCTGAAAAAAGCTGCCGGATCACTCGGCACAGGAGGCATGGAAGTCCAGCAAGCTCTTGTCTGATGTCAGTGAAGAACCACAGGCCCCAGACCCAACCTCAAACACCCCTGAAGCCCCGAAGCCCCCCCCAAAATGCCCCCAAATCGCACATCAGACCACGGACCTCGTCCCGCTGCGCCAGCCGCTGTGCCGTGGCGCACTGCTCCCCGAGGCTTCTCGCCTTGGATGACACCCCTGGAAGCCCGGAAGGCACCCTCTTGTGTAAGTCCTTGTATGCCTAAGATAAGGGGCTCCCCGTTTTTCCTTTCACGGGGTGCGAAGGGGTGGGATGGGTCGGATTCGGAACGGGAAGCCTGGGGCTTTGGTGCATGATTTCGGCCGCCCTTTGGAATGTCATGTGGGCACACAAAGGTCTAGAATCTAGGAAAACCAAGAAAGATACCAAAGGTCTAGAATCTAGGAAAACCAAGAAAGATACCAGCTCGCTCGCGTATTCTCCCGCAAGGACTTCTCGCCCCGTAGTACTGAAATACATCAGCAAGCATGAACACCTGGTGGACAGTAGCCATAGCTGCCATTGCTTTAGCGCGAGAGGAATTAACCTCTCAGCTTCTTGAAGGGGCCCCGGAGCCCTCCCCTTTGAGCTCAGCGCTTGCTCCGCCAACTCGTCAGAACGATGTTGCAAGGCTGCCTGCTCTCAGGCTCCCACAAAGCCAGGGTGCAAAGCAAACCGCGTCCATGATGGATTTTTTGATGCAAGAATTCATGAACAGTGTATGAATAGGATTGAATAGGTGTGTGCCGCCAAACTTTGCAACCGGAACGCAAGCAGAGGAAGGCCCGGTGCCTCCTGTGCAGCTAGCGCTCCCCGCTGCTGCTCGAGGTCCTTCCTGCAATGGCGAGCGGAAACATGCTGAAACTACATGCAGCTCATGTTGACGGAGCATGCTGGCGCTTTTTCTGCCGGAGTCAGGTGATCCGCCTTGCGTGGAGAAGCTCCTCTTCCGAAGCTGAAAGCGCCTGCAACAGCAGCAGATGGCACTAGATGTCTAGACTCTGACTCAGCAACAGGCTGCAAAATCCAAAAAGACTCAGTACAGAACTCCTCGCATCCGTGCACGAACCTCATGAGTACCAGACCTTTCGCTGCTCTAGCATGCGGCTCTCAGCCGTGGCAGCGCAGCGTTCGCGCACCCCAGCCGCCTCGACCATGTTGGGTTTCGGATTCTATTTGCCAAGCTGGCATCAGGGTCTGGTAACAACGTGACGACTTTACCTTCACATGCCAGGCTCACCCAGCATTGAGCTCAGAGCACATCATTGGGCATACCGCAACCCAACTGAAGACTGCGGCTCCTTGCAACAAAGGATTCCCAGCCTCTTGGCGCTTCCGAGCAACCTGCGCAAGGTTAGCTAAAAGCCTAACGGGCAATGTGACAAAGGCGGCGGCACCACGCCAGTCATTTCCGCAGCTCAAACTGCCTCCTTTTCTTCAGCAATGGCACTTGCAGTTGCGGCGAAGCGCTCTTCCTGCGCGGACTTTGGCACTGACATCGAGGCGTGCAAGCAACCCACGGCGTGACAAGCGATTTGCATCATGTGCTCGACGCGGTTGTTCTCATTGGCTCTCCTGCTCGGAAAGCTGCTCGGCCTTCCTGAGTGACCGGCATTCGCGTTGAGGAAAAACTCTCCGGGCATGAAAGACACCGAGAGCTGCTATGCAATCACACACATTTGGGCAACCCTGATTCTGAATCCAAGCACATGTCGCATGGGTTTGCCGACAAGTCGCGCACGAAGCTCCTTGCAAAGCTTGCTGCCATGCAAAAGATGCCCGGCATCATTGAAGCTTATGTTCTGCCGCATGAAAAAGAGCTCCCGCCTTCTCCCAACCACCAAGCCTGGACTGTTGAAGCTCCAGGTCTCGCTGCAGATCCTCCATCTCCTCCAAAAAGTGTTCAGCTTCCCACTCACTTCACCCTGCTTTTTGCACGCTTTCATCAAAGGCTGCTGCTCGCCTTGACACGGTTCGCGGCCAACTGTCCCTCGGCACTCAGTCGAGCCTCGAGGGCCTGCGCACCAGCGTACACCCAAATTAACCCAGTGTGTGGCGCTTGGGTTGAACGTGGTCGTGAACTGCTGTACTGTACCATACAATACACGTACGAAACAAATGGTCGAAGATGCGCGCCTTTAGCTCGCCGTCGTGTTCCTCCTGCTTCTGCGCTGCCTAAAGCATCACTGTGAGCTCGCACATTGAACACAAGCATGCTGGCAAAACTTGGGCAGTTCATGTCGCAAGCACGAGGTAGACATCCCAAAAACGGCTATGCAAACGCCCACCTGCACTTGTAAGCGACGCTGCCAGTAGCGGATGGATTGCTGCATGTCTGCTTGCTGCTGCGCCAAGGCCTTGCAGGGAACCGAGACTGGGCTTAAGATGGCTTAAGCGGAGCACACCAAAACATGTCCAGCAACCCAAGCTGAAGCAAATGGTAAACCGACATTTCGGAAGACCCGTCTGATCATGTGAATGTGAGCACCTCCTTGGAAATCCGGCCTCCGCACGCTGGGTCTTGGCTACTGCCTCATGCATCTGCAGCAGGTCCTGGGTTCGCAAGAGAGCCGTTGCGTTTGGAGGCTTTGACTGGCGGGGGGACTGCGCGGACTGTGGACTGTGGGCAAATGTGGGCAATCTCTCCTTCACATACCCGCAGCTACATGCTACATGCAATGCGTTTCCTCGTGCAAACCGGTCCTCCAGGTGCTGACGGACCTGCAAGTCTGCCTGCAGAGGCAGTTCTGCTTCAGAAACTGACAAATCAAGGCTGCCAAGCTCCGTGACTGAAACATGTGTTCGTTGTGTGACTGAAACATGCAGCAAAAACCATTTCTGATCCAAAATGAACCTAACTTGTCTCGAAACTCGGCGGTCTCGGAACTCGGTGGGCGCGCTCCCACGAGGAAAAGGTCATTGCAACCCTTCATGGCCCTGCCTTGTCGATGGCTATGAACCCATCTGCGGCATCATCTGCTTTACCTGCAAAGAAAAAACGTGTCGGACACGAACTCAGAACGGTCAGGACCCGAAGCTGTGAACCCGTGCGAAGATGCAAAACGGCGCAATCCTAGACTTGGCAGACAGAATTTGCAAAAACACACTGACGTCAAGATGGCTGAACGGCCTCCATGAAAATCCTTTCGCACTGCCTGCAGAATTCTGCTCACCACCTGCAAATACTGCTCGACATCACGTCGAGTAATTGCGATGGTGACGCAGATGGCTGACAACATACTTTCCGCAACCAGCTCTGGCCTCGTCATGGTGCTGAAGGAGGGCGCGGCGAAGCTCATGCTGCGTGCAAGCCATGTCCACAAAGAAGTGGATGGCTAAACAGAAATCAACTGCAACTTGCCTGGTATGACCGAGACCGTCTCCCTTCAAACTTACTAACGCCGAGCATGGAAGAATGACCATTGCATGCGCGTGTGGGTGCGCCATGTGACTGCGATGTTGAACGCTTCGGCAAGCCGTCTGGCAATACAAGTTTGTTCATAGCATAACCTCGACCTGAACATGCAAGAGCTGCCAGAAACACCACAACAACAATGCATGCTTACAAGAAAACTGCCACACTGAAACAGAAAGCTGGCAACTGGTGATAAAGGGTGTTTGCAAATGGGGGTGGGGGCTGCGCGCCCCCCCAACCCCCGCTTCTTTTAAGCCGTACCAAGGTTGCTTCAAAGCCCAAGAAACTAGTTGAAAAACATCGTGTGAGCATTGTGTTTGCAAATGGGGGGTAAACGATAACCGGCGACTGATAAACGATGACCGCCAGTAAAACTGCCTGATTCGCCAAACGTGTTGCAACTGTAGTGTGGCATGTGACATTGTCCCAGCAAAAAAACCTCAGAACTAGGCAAGTCTTGCAGCTTCTAATCGCAATCCGTGTGAACCCAAAAGGCAATGTCGACTGATTTGGGCCATGGGGACACATTCCACGGCAAAAACAGGAGAAAACACAAACAAGCTACCGTGTTGTACAAGTCTGACACAACGTGCACATAGCACACGCCGGTTGATGGGTCTGCCAGCATCTGCCCTCGGCAATGGCCAATGTCATGGTGACTTAGGGCGCATGGCTGTCACACTTGCAAGACATGTTCGACTCTGGCCTGCCACCTAATGCCGAACCACACGTGAACTTTTCCAAATCGAAAGAGGTGCGTTCGGGTCACCAACTATGACCTCAATCATGCAAACTTTTCTCTGACGAATGTCAGGCCGTTCGAAAGGCGAGGTTTCCAGTGGAAACGATCCTGACCATTTGCTCAATCGGCTCCAAAGAACCTCTCTGACACTGTGAACCTGCTGACTCCCTTGCTTCGGATCTAGTTCACCATCTTCAATGTCTCTGAAAAACTGCTCGGCAGATTTGCTCATGAAGTTGCGTGGAAGGATGACGATATGCAGCTGGCCAGGCCCGCCGTGCATTTAAATTCGAGGGGCTCCCCGGTTTCGAGAATGCGAGGCGTCCGAACCTGGGGCCAGAGATTTTCATGGCCAATCGATTTGGACCGTCTGTGCACGGCTGGGTCCTACAGCAAGGAGGGAGCGTGAAGTCCATCCGTACTGCCTGAAAGCGCGGCGCGCAGTGGGGCCGCGCGTCGCGTCCCCAAACTGCTTCGGGTAGCGACGCTACAACCTTCTGCCGCTGTCTTCGCCATGGCCCACAGCGTGCGTGGGCTCAGTGATGCGGTTGAAACATTGAGACCCTCCGACCTAAGTCGCCCTTTTTTGCGTCGTTCAGGGCGATCAGCTCAGCACGTTCTGCAACTCGTGATCCGGGCCACATTGTCTGGCTTCTCCTGGCAGACCCAGACTGGATGCTGGCTGACGCGCAGCTGCCGTTGTGAGTGCACTTATTGCTCGCCGTTCAATCGCGATCGGCCGGCGTGGTCCAGGCTTGGACCGCGCCCTGGCAATGCTGCCTGCCATATCCACAAGTTTGGTGTGCTCTCTCTCTTATGCTGCCGTCTCTAGACCCGACCAGAGATCGTCGTACTCAGAGCTGATTCAAAACTTGAAGGGTGTTGAGCGTACGGACTCAACCCAAAACTGAAGAATCGACAGGGCTGAGGCCTAGGACGCAACGATCTTCAATGGCCGCGAATTTGGGAGTTTTATTGTTCAAAACCGTGCTTGTCTTGAAATGTCGTGTCGTGTTCGAACACATCAAGTATGACACTCTCTCAACCAAGCAACATGCATTCTGCTTACATCACTCGCTCACGTTCGAATCTTTTCACGTGGTGGAGAAACAGTACCGAGCACGGCTGGTTGGATCTCGATCCCTCCTGTAAGACCCAAGACTGTTGTTGAGTCTCGAAAAAGTCCTGTAAGACACAGGGCTTCTCCCCTTTGAGAGGGAAAATGTTGGCTAACTCACTTCCTCTCACAGGTTCGACCTAAGTGTGATGGCCTGAACAGAATACTCATCAGGTTTATAAACAGGTTAAGAAGTTTCTGGCTGTCGCTGAGAGCTTGACAAGCAGCTTCACGCGGTTCTCCACGTTAGTTTCAGGGTTCACAAACTGCCACTGAGGCTGAAGCTGCAGCAGCCTCTCTTTGCTGCATCTCACGGGTTCCCATGAGATCGTCCGTAAAGTGGTGAGAAAAGCAATACTCGAGCCCATATGAAGGGTCCCTGATCGCAACACGCTCGCTGAGCTGCCTGGTCCCTCCCGGATACTGCCACGACCTCCTGTGCACACGGAGTCATCTCCTGACATGGTTGCAAAATCTCTCACATTAGTATGCAAGGGTGGCAAGGGTGGGTTTCTCAAAAATGATCTATCAGCATCTCAGAGCACTTTCCGGCAGAATGCCCCTCGAGAGGTTCCGCTGCAACGGGTGTACACAGTAAGTTCAAAACACACACGAACAAGCATAAAACTGATCGAGCAGTTGAAATAAAGTTGTGCAAAAAGGCAAGCACCAAAACAACAAGCAAATGTTTTTGGCAGAATATTTGGGGCAGAACATTTGGGCAGAACATTTGGGCAAAACATGTAGGCAGAACACTTGGGCAGAACATGTGGGCAGAACACTTGGGCAGAACATTTGGGCAGAAGGCAGAACACTTAGGCAGAACATTTGGGCAGAACATTTGGGCAGAAACATTTGGGCAGAACATTTCGGCAGAACACATGGGCAGAACGCTTGGGCAGAACATTTTGACAGAACATTTGGGCAGAACATCAAGCTGTGGAAGTGCATGCTGCAATTGCCCACAGACGCTCTTCGTGCGGCTTGACTTTGTGAAAATCGATGGGCGTTGAAGCACACTGGCTGGTCATTCGTGGCTCGAAGCGGATGAATTTGTTTTTCATCACCACCTCATCTGGAGACGTGCCTATGTCGTCTTCGACCCACACTTTGCCTTTCCGCAAAGCGTCTCAGATGTTTCCTTGCGCACGCTGATCCTTGATAAGGCCTTGTGCAATATGTTGAGAAGGAATAAACAAGCTCTTTCCCTTACTGCATCAATGCCTGCCAGGATTCAATTCCATACGGCCTTTATTGCCTCTTGCCCTCTTTTCTGCAATTCCTTGTACGCCTTCACCAAAAGGCATATGCTCAAAGCACTAGCTATTGCCAGCTCAACTATTTTGAGGCGTCCCTGGATTCAGGCCAAACATATGGCGGGCGTTTTTGATTTTATCAAAGCGCCTAGGGCAATGGATCCTGAGATAGGCGCCATATTATCTAAAGTTGGCCTACTGCTGCGCTGGAGAGGCAAATGGGCTTTAAACGTTATCCTGCATGACCTTGAAAATGCGCATGCGGCCAACCTTCCCTTCTACCATTCGTTGCTTGTGCAAGCCAGGCAAGCCATTCAGAAATCAGTCTCCTTAGGAGACTCACCAATCATTGAGCAGTTCAAAAGCAAGTGCCATGATGCCCTATCTGCTGCGCTGCCTCGAGTGAGCCCTCACTCAGGCGGTCGCAAGCTCAAGCAGGCGCAAATTGCGCTTAGAGCAGTGTTGCGCAATGCTGCTTGTGTTCAGGCGCAAGGATATCTTCGACAAAAAGTTGCGAACCATGCACATGAGAGACAGCTATGTGCCATTTTGCTTGCGCTAAACCTCCCGCCAAAGAACGTGGCTTCGGATGTCACTCGTTGCTACGCACTTAGATGGGCCATTGTTGAAGAAGCCGATGCATATTTTGTGTACAGGCAATATGCCTCTAGGGACGAGCAATGTAGAGTCTGCCTACGCAAACAAACAGGGAAAGAGCTCTGGTATGACAATGGGTTCGGCAGCATGCCAGTCTGCAAACTCTGTCATCTCAACCAAAGCTGCCCTGATGACCTTGCCCATGCCATCAGCTGCATGCTGCCTTGCTGTGATGTTAACCAAGCACCACTCCTGCAATGTGCGGCAATGCCTGGTGCTCCGGCTAGAACTATTACTTACAGAGCAGCTATACCCAATGAGCACCAGTGTACTTTCATCCAAAGCCACTGCCTGCTCTGTGGGCTGGGAGCAAACACAACAGAGCATTGGCTTACGGCTTGTGTGGTCACCAAAGCCTCCCTCTTTATTGTCCTAGTCACATTGGGATATGCTGGCACTGCCTCGTTTGACTCCCTGTGTCACACTGCCCTTCCTAAGATCAATGTTGAGGGAGGGATTGACAAGAAATTCTGTGCCGTCCTATTAGCATGGATTGCGACCATAAGAAGATATACTATGGAACAGCAATGCACCTGGCACCCTGGATGGTGTGAGACACCGCAACGGGCAAAACACATCAGTAACATACCCAAGCTCGCGTCACGTCTTTGGAATACCATCCCGAGGATGTTACTTCCCAAAGCATTACCGGCATGGTGGGTTGACACGGAACGCTGCAAGCCCTGTTGCAACGACGGAGGACTCCATATTGAGGTCAAGCATCCCCTTTCTGCCTTAATTAAAGCAAGCGCCCAAGGTGTTACCGTCTCCCCCAGGAATGCCAATATAGGGGATGTCTTAGCAACATTAGATGCACAGCATTACTTGCTTGCACCTATGTATCAACAGACCCTTGGCGTCCCTAATGTTGCTCTATGGCCTAAAATGTGTCATTGCGGCAATCTGCACCTTAAAGTTACGGCATTAAGGCCAATCCCTGCAGGTACTCCACTTATTGTTGAGTTAAAACCTGTCAAAGATACCCACCTTGTTGCTCAATTTGACGGCAGCTGCCACGTGCAAGAAGGTATCGGTGGTGCGGGTGGTATCGTATGGTCGCCCGGACCAGTCCCGGTAATTCTTGAAACGATTGCCATCCCACTCCAGCCTTG